TTCTCAAGAAGAGCAAAGCCATGATTAGTCATATGAATATGGAAGCATCCTCAAAAAATAGTTTGGATTCAGGTTTGCTTTAATCATGACTCGTGGCGGTAGGGTGGGACTGCAGTAGGGGATCAAAGTTTTACATAGAGATATATCGGAAATAAAATCTAATGAATAGCAGGGCCATATTGATTCAGGTGAGCATTGTTGAAACATCTAAACTGTTTTAGTCATTTTTATATTGGATATAACTTTTAAATATTAGCTACTTTGTATTGTATATACACAGGCATGTTTTCCACATATGATCCACATTATGATTTTCGTATGTGAATCATATGTTTTGCTTCATATGACAATGATAACCAGAAGTCTCTAATGAAACTGTAGCTCTACTAGTTTGTACTTATAACAAAGGAAGAGAAAAGTAGCACTTGCACTTGAAACTATGCAACATTAATAAATAAAATAATGGTCCTTGGTTAAGTCTTTTTTGTGGCAAGATTTATTGCAGTCAGACAAACTGTTAGAGGAGTAGCCTTTTGAAAGAATTTCACCAAAGTTTCTATTTTAAGTAACATGACAAAGACCGTTCAATAAAATCAAAATCCGATTAACAGAATTATGTATCTCAGTGCAGTCTACATTTATGCAAAGTTATCAGATCAAAACTGTAGGAGAAGTGCCATTTTAAAGTATTACACAGAAATGTCTATTTTTAGTAAGCATGACAACACCATTAATCAAAAACTGATGCACGGAATTACGTATCTTAGTGTAGTCTACTTGTGTGCCAAGTAATATTGAAATCAAACCAAAATTAGGAGGAGTAGCATTTTAAAAAAAATTCAAAGAAATTTCTATTTTTAGAAACCATAGCAACACTGTTCATCGAAATTAAAACCGATGCACTAAATTAAGTATCTGAGTGTAATCTACTTGTGTGCAAAGTTATACTGAATGTAAAGTGTGAAGATAGCGAACAGTGATCAATCTCAAAAAATCTTAAAACGATAAAAATTTGTGAAGATGGCATTAACATGGATCTCTGGAAATTCCAGAGGAGGGATCAGGTGCCTTGGAGGAGTAAGCATCCCCTGTCTACCAATCACATCCCCTGTGATCCCTATGTATTGATCAGGTAGATGGAACATTTAGTAGTCAAAATCAGTATAAAAACAAAGATCTGATAATTTGTAGTAAACAAGTCAGCCCCCCCCAAAAAAAAATAACAACAAAACGACCCAATCATAGGTTATATTTGCATACAAGGTCATTATAACGACCGTAGAATTTACGAAACGCTGACTTTAAACAAGGTTGTTGAAATCCCTGTAACATCAACTTATCTGTTAGTACCCTGCCTCGGTTTAAAAACATCTCGCACTTGGAGCATACTCCGGAGTATCGAATAAGTTGGGAGACGTAAACAAAATACATGTATGCAGGTGATAGCAGGATATTACTACATAAATAAGGAAAGTTGATGATGGAAAAGTTGAAATCATCTCTTTTGTCATACAGTTTAGTTGTTAGTTGGTCCTTATTGTCTATAAAACATCCAAATATAAAATCAGACCGAACCTGTTGGAGGAGTAGCAATTTTAAAGAGATTTGAAAGAAATCTATATTTTTAGTAACCAAAGCAAAACCGTTCATCGAAATAAAAAACTGATGCATAGAATCATGTAGTGTACTTGTGTTCCAAATTATATTTAAATCAGACTAGATCTGTAGGAGGGAAGGAGGAGACACATTTTAACGGAATTTCACAGTATTCATACTAAACATGACATCGCTATTCATCAGAATTAAAAAATAAAAACCAATGCACTGAATTATATATCTTACTGTGGTCTACTTGTGTGTCAAATTATATTGAAATCAGACCAAAAACTGTAGGAGGAATAGGGTTTTGAAAAAAAAATGTTTACAGCCAGACATACAGCCAGACAGACAGAAGGAAGAACGACGAGACCTTGCTATCGCATAAGCCCTTCTTGTCTCTGACCAGTAGAACTAAAAAGGGGTTCATATGAGGATTTTATTACGCATTTCGAATGATTTACATGATTCATATATTGTAGATCACTTAATTTTCACACCTTATTTTCGCAAGATTTTTGTTTGATATTTATAAGCGAAACAAAATTTTCACGAATTTTGTTTATTGCGTTGTGAAATCTTAATAGTAGAATTATACATGAGAATGAAATTTTCGCGACCAGACGATCTCGCGTAATAACGCGAAAATAAAGTTCTCACGAATAAAAAGTGATTAACATTATGTGAATCACATAAAAAAACTAAATTTTTAGTTGAGTCCATTCCCAAGTAACTGCAAGCCCTATCAAAACAAAATTGCATAAATGTTGCACACTAGTTTAGAGTGGGATTTACTTACTGAAAGGATGAGCTCTGTAATCTCTGAGGGTATTTAAAATCTTCTTCTCAAGAACCACTGGGCCAGAAAAGATGAAACTTATGTGAAAGCTTCCTGAAACTTATGTGAAAGCTTCCTGACATAATGTAGATTGTAGATTCAAATTTTTTTCAAATCATGACCCCTAGGGGTTTTACAAAGGAAAACATAGGAAAAATCTTCTCAAGAACAGTAGAGCCATGATTGGTGGTATTTATATGGAAGCATCTTAAGGTAGTGTAAATTCAAATTATGACCACAGGGGTTGGGTTGGGCCACAATGGGGGATCAATTTTTTTTTAATTTTTTTTTTTTACATAGGAATATATAGGAAAAAAAATCTTTAAAATTCTTCTCAAGAACAGCAAAGCTGTGTTTGGTCATATTAAAATGGAAGCATCCTCAGATAGTGTAGTTTCAGATTTGTTTAAATTATGACCCCTGGGGCAGGGTGGGTCCACAACTGAGGAACAAAGTTTTACATATTAGGAATATACAGGAAAAAAATCTTTAAAAATCTTCTAAAAACAGCAAAGCCATGTTTAGTCACATTGATATGGAAGCATCTTTAGGTAGTGTAGATTGAGATTTGTTAGCTCACCTGAACTGAAGACTCAAGTGAGCTTTTCTGATCACATTTTGTCCAACGTCTGTCTGTCCATCTGTCTGTAAACTTTTCACATTTTTTACCTCTTCTCAAGAATCACTGGGTCAATTTCAACTAAACTTGCAAAAAAGCATCCTTGTATGAAGGGAATTCAAGTTTGTTCAAATGAAGGGCACACCTTCTTCTAGGGGGAGATAATTAGGAATTATTGAAAAATTAGACATCTTTTAAAAAGCATCTTCTCAAGAACCACTAGGCTAGAAAATATGAAACTTACATTAAAGCATCCTCTGGTAGTGCATATTCAAGTTTGTTCAAATCATGACACTCAGGGTAGGGTGGGGCCACAATGGACAATCAAAATTTTACATAGGAAAAATCTTCTCAAGAACAGCAAAGCCATGATTGGTCATGTTCATGTTTATATGAAAGCATCCTCAGGAAGTGTAGATTTAAGTTTGTTCAAATCATGACCCCAGAGGTAGGGTGGGGGCACAATGGGCGATCAAAGTTTTATATTGGAGTACATAGGAAAATCTTTAAAAATCTTCTTCTTAAGAACAGCATAGCTATGATTGCTCATATTTTTATGGAAGCAATATCAGGTAATGTGGAATTATGTTTGTTTAAATCATGGCCCCTGGGGGTAGGGATGGACCACATGCAGGGCCCATATGTAAGTTATACAAAGGAATATGAAGGTTATATCAATATAAATTTTCTTCTTGAGAACAGCAGATCAATGATTAGTTATGGTAAATTTAGAAGCATCCATAGGTAGTATAGATTCTTTGTTAAAATCATGACCCCTAGAGTTAGGGCAAGGCCACAATAGAAGATCAAACATAGAGGAAAAAATCTACTTCAGCCATGATTAGTTAAAGAAATATGGAAACATCCTTAGGTAGTGTAGATTCAGGTTTATTCAAATCATGCCCCCTCCCCCTACCACTTTTTAATTTGTTTTCAATACTGCACTAATTTCTGCTTTTTCCTGGTCAAAGAGCTCAGGTGAGTGATGTGACCCATGGGCCTCGTGTTCAAATCATGACCCCTGGGGGTTGGTTGTGAGGACACAATGGATGATAAGAGTTACAAATATGAATATTTAGGTAAAAATCATTTAAAGTCTTTTCTCAAGAACAGCAAAGCCATGGTTGATTATATTGATGTGGAAGAATCCTCAGGTAGTGTAGATTCAAGTTTGTTCAAATCATAAACCCCAGGGGTAGGTTGGGCCACTCTGCGCGATCAAAGTTTTGCATTAAAATACATAGAAAAATCTTCTCCTCAAGAACAACAAAGCCTTGATTGGTCATATCTATAGGGAAGCATCCTTAGTTAGTGTAGAATCAAATTTGTTCAAATCATGACATCATGGGGGTGGAGTGGGGCCACAACGGGGGATCAATTTTTTTACATAGGAATATACAGGAAAAAATCTTTAACAATCTTCTTAAGAACAGCAAAGCCATGATTTGTCAAATATATATGGATACATCCTCTGGCAGTGTAGAATCAAGTATGTTCAAATTAAGACTCTCCGGGTTGACTGGGGCTACAATGTACAATCAAAGTTTTTCATATCACACCTTTGGGTGGTACCAAGTATGAGCTTTCAGTTTTTCTCCATAACAAAGTTACAGAGTAGTCTGCAGGGACAGAGGATGGATGGGTGGACAAGGTGATTCCTTTATAGCCCTAAATTTCATTTGCAGGGGGTATAAAAAATTCCTATCTTGAAAACTGTACAAGCTAGGAGTTATCCGGACAAATAGGGAACCTTTTTGGCTGCCGCCTGCCATTTTCATCATTTCAGTAACTGGATTTTCCCTTTAGAAAACCCAGTTAAAAATGGATCCATGCCATCACACCCTCAACAAATGCCCCATGTTAGTGTTTGCAGCAGTGGAGTCATTTTCCACAGATGTCTTTGTAAATTTAATGCTGCTGGTCAAGAAAAAGAGAACTAAAACTCCATTTTCCAGTTAAATTCTTTTATTTTCTTGGCTTCAAATTTATTCATTTCCTCCATGATGATGCATGTAAAACATTGCATAGATTGCCAAGTTATGCATGAAATTTGATGATAGATGATTTTAAAAAATGTAAAAGAATATAATCTATGTATATATAAATAAGAAAAACTGTACACATTTAAACAATTGCACAAATTACAACACAACTTTCATACAACTGTACAGATTTTATCTTACAACAATTTGAACATTTGAAGAGGGGTTTTTATATTACAGTTACCTCCCCCTAAAGACTTATGGTAATATAAAACTCTGTCAAGTATAATAAACCTATCTAAAGGTCATGTGTAAATACTGCTTAAATGTGAAATCGAAATTTTACCAAAATTTGGTATTCTTACATAATGCATGAATTAAAGACCATTAAGCAATCCATGGAATGATATTGCACTTTTCTGCCCTACCTTATTTCATATTACAGAACACCAGAGAGAGAGAGCAGCAATTTATATGAAATGTTCAATTACATGATTTGAATTTATAAATACACATGCAATTGTTCCAAAGAGAGAGAGAGATAAGAATAAAATGCAATTGACATTTCGTCAGGTATTTAAACTTTCCAAACTTTGTTCTACATTTATGTGGCATTTATTTGGCACAAAATTTTACACAAAGATTTAATAAACCTAAACAAAATTCTTAAAAATATCTTCTTTGTATTAGGTATCTTTTTAAAAATTTTAGCGATAAAAAAAAATACTCCTATCATCTTGGTTAAAATAATTTGTTCATTTGTTGAAAATTACAATCAGATCTTGAATGTGTCAGTTTTCTATACATAGCACTTCAGTCAAGTATAGCAGAGCTACACCAGCTAATGCCTGCTAATCTGAGATCAGCCAATCTTCATTTCCCAACCTTCTCTTTGTAGCTCAGATGGGACGTCTTTTTCGTTTGTAGTGAAAATAGCACTTTAGATGTTTTAGACAAGTTTTGGGGGAATTCCTGTCTGTTCTAGCTCTCTTCGCCTTTGTCTTTTTGCAGCACTCTGGGATATAACTGTAACAAAATAATATTGATTTTGTTACTTTCATTTACTATATAAACAGATGACATTAAAGAAATTATAATCTCTTCATTTACAGCAAAATTGTCAACTTTTACTGCTAGACATGGGTCACTCAGTTAAAGTACAACTGACCTTCAATATATATAACAAGGATATGTATTAAAAAAAATCTAGTTTAAAATCCCTTCACTTGATGATTATTTATTTTTTGACTAAAGAAATATCTTACATAGTTATTAATTACAACCCCCTTAACTTACCCCTAGTAAATTTCTGGGAATGTAGCCCTCCTTGTCCCCCATGCGTGACCACCACCATTCTTTTTCCACATCATCACCTTTCCTTAGAACAGTGATTTCATCATTGACACTAAAACTTAGTTCATCTTTATTTTTGGCTTCATAATCGAACACAGCGTAGACCACACCTCCATTTAGAATACCCAACTTCTCTTGTATGCCTGTAAATAAATACCAAGAAATAACATCATTACATTAGGTGATTATTAAATTTGTGTACAGGTATCCTCAAATACTTGTTTAAAAAATACATAGCATTCTGGTGCTTTATATATTGTAAAATTTTAAGATTTAAAATTCCTGATTATTATTTGGTCACAAGTAAACAATACATGGTGACCTTGTAAAGAACACATTTACACCACCAAATGTACACATTTACACCTAAGTAAAACAGCTATTTATGTCTCTGATTAAAGTAAAGTACACATTTACACAAGAAGTGGAGTACACATTCACACCATCATAACTAAAGTGCACATTTACACCATAAGAAGAAAGGTAAACATTTAATAATACCAAAAATTTACACCACTACAAGTGAAGTACACATTAACACCACCATTTGTAAAGTATTTTACATCTCTTAAAGTAAAGCACACATTAACACCTACAGAAATAAAGTACATGCTTACACCACCACAAGTAAACATTCACTCCACCAGAAGTACTGTTTACATTAACACCACACATTTACCGGGGTACACCACTACAAGTAAAGTACACATTTACACCACTACATTAATGTACATATTTACACCACCAAAAGGAAAGTACACATTTACACCACCACAAGTAGAGTACACATTTACACCACCACAAGTAAAGTACACATTACCACACCAAACAAAGTATACATTTATACCACAAGTAAAGTACACATTTACACCATTAGGTGTACAAATTTACACCACTAGAAGTTAAGTATACATTCACACCACTTGAAATAAAGTACACATTCATTCGACCAAAAGTACTGTACACATGAACACCACACATTTATACCACAAGTAAAGTACACATTCACACCACTATAGAAGTAAAGTATGCTATACATTACACCAATTCAATAATAAATTTAATATTCAGCAGAATAAATGGGTGTAGTTCTCCTTATTTATACCATAGATTCAAAGTTTTTGTGACCAGACATATTTTATGTCAAAACTGCATTCACTATGTATTGAAATATTTGCTGTTTATGACAACACCCCTAGACTTATTAAATTTCAAGGATGTTTAAAACGCTTTATCAAGTGCATGAAGTAATAATGACATTGTACTTCAACTGGCATTTTACCAACACTGAAAGTGCACTGTTCACATCTTTCACAAAACTGCACTATGCTAGCATTCTACATTATGTCCTGATGGCAACAAACTAAGGAATGGAGAAACATGGTTATTTTGATCCTCCAAGGAGAGCCAAAATCACCCCATTCCATCAGTAATTTGTTGTACAGAGTTGATGTTTTCATTACTTAGTGTTACTCTATGACAAAAATATAACTACATTATAAGATTCACTGCATGTGTATAAACATATTTTGCTCTCACTGTAATTATACATGTAAATCTGAGCAAAACCTAAAACATTCTAAATATTAAATAATTATGTTTAAAGCCTCCTACTTTGAAAGTGATTTACTGTATAAGTACTTGGTGACAATTACTTACTGTATAAGTAAACAATGACAATGACTTAATGTTTAAGTACTTAATAGTGACTATGACTTACTGTGTAAGTTCTCAGTGGCAATGACTTACTATATAAGTACTCAAGAACAATGACTTACTTTATAAGTACTCGGTGACAATTACTTAGTACAAGTACTCAGTGACAATGACTTACTGTATAAGTACTCAGTGATTATTTAGTATAAGTACTCAGTGACAATGACTTACTGTATAAGTACTCGGAGCAGCCATCGAAACCATCCTCATCTTCTTCACATTTCTCAGCCGCTGTCTCATGGTCACTGATCGTTGTGGCAAAAATACAGGCTCCGTGTTCCACAAGGAAAATCACCATCTGTATGTTATTACAGGAGGCTGCACAGTGGAGAGGTGTCCTACAGTAAAAATAAATCACCATTAATTCTTTCATGCTAAACATGATCTTAACTTATATCATAGGGTAAAAAAAATCAGATTCATATAAATCATAAATGGATATGACTCTCAGAACTTTCAAAATTAAATAATACTGAGGCACACATTAATCCTAATAATATTTAGGACACTGACCAGCCATCACTGTCTGGGGAGTTGACATCACAACCAAATTCCACGAGAAATGTGACAATGTCATAATGTCCGGCACAGATAGCATTGTGTAAAGCTGTGATTCCCTCATCATTGGGCTCACTTACATTAGCAACCTGTTAGTGAAGAAAAGAGGAAGAATTTATTCAATGTTCTGTTTATTGCAATAATGTTATTGCTGAATAGGTTTTTAAGCTTGTGCTCCTTTAACACATGTACAGTTTCTTTCACATAAAACTTAACTTCGCTTTAAAATTAACTAACCTTCATGATACTTCAAGAACAATTAGGATTATTACAAGATTAGACAAAATGAAAGAGAGGGCTTATCAAATAAAAGTTGCATCAAATCCAATCAATTAAAAAAAATGAAGGCAACCACAAAGAGTATCCTAATATAAGTTAAAATTTTTCAATGGGATGTAAAACACATAAACAAACAAGCAACCACAAAGGAAGGCTGCATGTTTGCAGTGGCACTTGATCAAAATCCACCAACAGAGAAAATTCTTTTTCAATTAGAAATCCCATATTTTAAAATCTTGAATGAAGACTTTCTTCAAGCAAAGAAGCCCTTACCTGTGAAGCACACCTCTTGACCATTTCTACCTCTCCTTCCAAGGAAGCATCCAGAAGGAGGGCTAAAGGGTCAAAGCTGACCCGATTTCCTGAACTCTTGGAGTGACGAGATCGTAAATTGGTCTTCTTCTTGGGCACCACTTCCATATTTACAACCTCAGGAGAACTTAATTCTTGGTCATTTTTATCATCTTTATCCAAGTCGTCCATAAGATTTCCCATGTTGTCTACTGGAACATCTTCTGGGACACCCCCTATGAAAGAGGTAGCCTGTGTGTTGTTGAGAATGTGGTTCTTATCATGTCTGTCCACATGTTTATGTAGAAGTCTCACCATTTCTTCACTGTCACTGCTGTCTGATGGCCTGCGATGAATCTTCTTTGCTGGACGATTGTGACTTATTTTGTCTGATGTTAAGTCTGGATATTGGTGCCCTGTGGGATTGAATGTATGGACGTGATCATGGGAAATATTAGGCTGCGGTTCAGGGGGTTTCTGACCATTTTGAGCCCTGTTTATGTCGTTTTCAGAACTCTCTTGTTTTTTGTCTGCCTCATCTCCCCTGGCAAGATTTTTATACAACATGTCCATATTTTTCTGATATTTCTGCAAAGCTTCTGGCCTTAATCGTCCCATGTAAGTATTAGCTATCTGATTTTTGGAAGCGAAATTGATAGTTTTCGAAGGATTGTTAGCACCATTGTTCTCCACTGACTTTGCAGAATTCACATTACCTCCATTCACATTAGTACTTTTTACATTAGAATCCACCACTTGCTCTGGTGGTTTCCTCAAAGACCGTGAGGAGTCCACCTGATCCTCAGCATGTTTTGGCTCTGAGGGAATGTCTTTGGTATTTGAAGATGGGGGAAGGGGTGGGGGAAGCCTCCGAGGTGGGGGAGCACCATTACTGTGTGAGGTATTACGAGAATCTTTGGTATTATCATTATTTTTGCCGTTTTGCGATCCTTCGCTGGATGCGGGAGAACTTTGTCCACTTCCTCCTTGTCTGATCTCCTCCTGAACGTTTATTGTTGGCCCATTGGCCAGTCCCTGACTTTGTGCCCTATTTGATAATACTGAGGAACTGTATGTGGACCCATAGGGTCGAGGTGTAAAGTAGGTCAAACCTGTTGTGGCTGACCTGGGGGGTGGGGGTGGTTTTACAGGATGTCCTGTTGATGAAGAAACAGGTGGTTGGTATCGCTGAGCTGCTTTAATGATTGATTCTGATACCTGTGAACTCGTTACTTGTCCTTTCTGATTTCCACTGTCTAGTCTAGGTGGCCTTTCAGGAGGTTTTGGCTCCTGTTTATTATGTAAACTATTGATATTTTCATTGTCTGTTTGGTTTTTGGTTGGAGAAATGAGTTTTGTATTTGGAGGCAAGGTCTGATATTTTGGATCTTGTTTTGCAAAGTTTGATTTTAGATCTGCCTCACTCTGAATGGCATCTGGAGATTTTCGGTACTGTATATAGGGTTCCACCTGAGCCACATTACTGGGGCGTGGATTATGATTGGCATCCAGTTTTTTGTTGTTGTCCAAATTCTTCCTTTGTTCGGCTTGATGTGCTCGCTTCTTTTTCAGCCTCTCTTGCAGCTCATGAATACGATTGTCCATTTTGGATATCTCCTCTTTTCGTTGATTTAGCATTTCTCTGTGCTTGTTCAGTTTTGAATTCTGTTGATCATTAAGTTTATTCCGTACCTGAAAAATACTTTCATTTTAAAAATCTTGACAGTGTTTCATGCAGTTAGACTGTGTACTCATGCAAATCATATCTTTAATCTGTCATCCAATTTCCAAAACTTGTTTACATTTTTTCTTGAAATCCATCTCCAAAGTAAAAATATTTTCAATTCACTAAATCCTGTAATACGACACCTGAATAAATTCCCCGACATTTTTTTTCCACCTATACAATCTATTTCAATACATTTTTCATTTCAACATATAACAGTCTATAGATGACTCATAGTCTCATCCAGTACCGTATAAAAACATAGACTGGGTCTATTTTGTAACTCTTCCAGGGGATATTCTGACTAAATGTCTTTAATATTCATTTCCATCCCAAATTATGAACATGAAATTTGGATCAAGTTACATATTTCTTAATTGAAAACCCTGTAGAATAAGTAACAGTTAGTTGTTGGAAGTTCCCAAGTACTTTTATAAAGCTCTCTATGAGACTAGGACCTTCTGATATTGTAACTGAAAACCTTTTTTCTTCATTTTGCTTCAAGATTTTCATTTCAAATATTAAAGCAAATATTCTCTTACCATAAGTTCCTTCCTGAGTTTTTCCAGTTCTATGGCAGCTGGATTCTGGGTACCGTTTTTAGCACTGGCTCGTTCCTGGCGGATAGCCTCCAGCTGTCTTGTTAGATCCTCAACTTTCGCAACAGCCATCACAAGCTCCTTCTCTTTCTCTGTAAACAACGCCTTCACACTTTCCAATTCCGTGTCTACAAAAAAAAAAAAAACATTATCATGCATATTCCATATTTCTTCACATATATATAAGCAATTCTCATCAGTATGTCTCTTAAGATATCTTTTTTATCTTTCAACAATTTTTCTTTGAAGTGCTTATGAAGATGTTGTTTGCCAGGGACACTTGATAAAAACAGAGGAAATTCTCACAAGAAAATAATACACAAGGCCATGTCTTCTATGTTGGAGTTTTTATATTTTATATGGCAATCAAAAAAACACCAAAAAAAACCTAAACAAACAATAAAGAGATTTCACATAAACCTCAGTCGACTTTTTTGCATGACGTTCACACAGAATAGGGCCATAAGAGCCCTAAAGACTTCTTCACAGAGTCATGGGCTTCTGTCATTAAGAATTATTACAAGAGCCTTATTGAAAAGAGGAGCTTGACACCTCTCCATATTATTTTCAAGCTACTTCAACTCTAAAAGTACAAGACTGCAATTAAATGAACTCAAAAAGCTCTTCAATGTGCATGTGCGTATGCATGAGAAAGAAAAATTGCATGTCAGGATTTCCTTGTCTAATGTGTTGTTTAGATGTAGCTATTTCTATCTTGCCATTTCTATCTCTTCTAATAATTATTTTTAAGCAGTTTTTTTTTTGACAGGTGTTGCAGAGTGTACATACATAATGCTTCCTGAAATAAAGCACTAAGGTGGTGTTTTTCGGTACTTTTTGCCCCAAAACATTGCCTCTGGCTGAACAAACACTTGATAATAAAGCCTAGAGGGACTGCAATATATTAGGAACTCTCCTCTATTATTGAGCTCAATGACTACATTCCGACTGACAGAGGCACCAAATGAAAGTCACAGAGAGACATACCATACATCAATCTTCTTTATAGTCTCACAACTTACTTTTACAACAGACAGTAAATTTCTGTGATATATATTAGTTTTTCAAACTTTCGTCACTTTTTGTTTTATTCCATTGGATCCCTCCCCTTCTCCCCCGCACTTTTACAAGCATTTCATAAAATAAACATGATGACCTCTCAATTAAAACAAATATGAAATCAAATCACATAGGGATTGATGTCATTGGCATAAATTCTGCCAAAAACATTCCTGTTGTAAGATCTTGATTTATCTTGTATCTTGATTTATCTTGTATTTTTTGAAATACAATACCCTGACATTATCTCTTTCCTTTCCCAACTGATTTTTCAGATTTCCCCCCAAAATTTTGTCCAGATCTAGTTGGTTTCCTATTTTCAGTCACTTTTTTGACCCCTTAATAGCTGTTCAGTCAAGAGATTTTCTTCCTTCCATCTTGTTTATTGAATATGACAGTAAAACATAAATAAGACTGCCACAAAGGTTGTCAGCCCCTCTCAAAGTTGTCAGAAAAGATGTTGAACTTTTATTCAGTTGTCTCAAGGAACTTTAAATTCATCTTAGAGGAATTATGGTTTAACATAGGACTTAAGTTTTTTTTTTTCATGTAAATATTTGTAAAATGCCTCTAAGCCCTATGTTTGCAGTAGATCTGTTGTAAGGCTATGAATGGCTTTCATAAAGACCTTGCTTTTTGTTGCAATATTATCGATTTTCATTCCAAAATATTTCATGTTTACCCATACTTTGTTAAGATTCAAGTAACAAACAAAACATATTTGCCAAATGTGTGTGCTTTGCTGAAATCAAGAAAAAAAGACCCACTCTCAACAGTTCCAATATTTGTGTAGAAGTCAGCATGAAACAGAAATTTCCTGTTCCCTACAGAACAATATTGTAAAGTCTGGAATTTTGTTCTTGCTTACTGAGTGAGCCATTGGTGTTCCTGTGTTTGTCTACTTCCCCGCGGAGAGCTCGGAGCTTTTTCAGCTTCATTTCCTGAGATTCCACTCGGTCTCGGAGTTTCTTGAGTCGATCCCCCTCGGCAATGATGTGTTGCTGCCTCTGGTCCTGTTGCTTCAGATACTTCAGTCGTTGCTCCTTAGCCACCAGAACTTGTTGCTGGTGCTCGATTTGCTGCTGTTGCCTAGCAGCCATGTCCTGGAGCTCAGACAAGGTCAGGTCAACTCCTCCTGGCAGCTGTGTCAAAAAAATAATAATAAACATAAATAACAATAATAATAAATGGAAAACATAAACATAAATAAATAAAATGGAAAACAAAGTGTAACATAAAAAATATTTAGTTTTCAATGAAGAAAGATGATTATAAAAAATCATCAATTATTGTGATCATATATGCTTTGAAGTTTGTCTTAACTTTTGAATAAAATCTCTTCCTTATTAAAACTGACTCATTTTTTTTTTTCATTCTAAAAGTTTAAACTTATTCTTTCTATGAGAAATTCACATAGGTTTCTAAATGTAAATACATGTACAAGTATGTATATAAATTGATATAAAGTGATTATCAATCAAAAAATTAGCGATGCTCAAAAAACTAGGTCACCATAAATCCGTAGTCACCTTCTTGAAAGATATGCAAATAGAATTCAAATTCTTTCCTCCCAGTCAAGAATGAGAGTACATTTGAAAGCACTTTTCATTTTATAAATGCAAATTTGTAAAAATCACTGATAGGAATCAGAAATCGAAATGCGTGTCTAAAACCATTTCATTGTTTGGGGATAAAAATCTACACAACAAAAAAAATTCCTCTTGATAGAAATTTTTCAAAATATTTTAAATATCACTTATATCAATTATGTGTGAACAATTCTATTTCCATGGTTCAAGAGAAAAGGCCTGATTACTTTAAGTATTAGACTGTCAAAATCTTCAGACTAAATGGCCCATATTTTTATAGACCATGCCCTAAACTTGTATACCTATCTCCATTTCTAACACAAAATATTTACCAAATCACAGCCCAAAGCTTTACATTATTTTGAAAATGTTCTGAGAACCTAGACTTAAGTAAATATACTCTCTGGCCCAATTTAAGCCTTTATCATTGACTTAGCCACCTGAGCTTTGTAAAATAGGTGTCTTAACAATCATAATTCAGCAATAACTCCACAATACATGTAATTACCAGAGTGTCACCAACAAGCATCAAACTAGAGGGTTATATAAGTTTATAGAGCCAGGCAGACTTTATCACCTGTCTACACAGATAATCCATCAATCAGATTGGGATAATAAAATAATCCCTCAACAAGAATATGTTACACCTTTCTAATGGACAAAATTTTGTGTACTTTGTCCACAGTACTTGTATGTTCATAGATGTCTATTTGAAGAAAAAACATAAGAATAATTGTACCAATGTTTTTAGTGAGGGAGGATTTACAGTCAAACCTCATTATCTCAAACTCAATGGGACCAAGAAAAAACTTCAAGATATCTGAGGATTTGAGGGTAAAATACTTAAAAAGTGTTTGGGACATCCAACTCACTTCAACAAATCCATGATATTCAAGATATCAATGTTCGAGATATCAAAGTTCAGCTTATTCATTAGAAAATTATTAAGACTAACTTAAAATAGAAAAAAAATGCTGCCATTTTCAGAAAATAAATTGTACTTTTATGGTACCGAACCACATCATATCATACATGCAAATATGTACCAAAAAAATTTCATGACAGAAATGGTATGTTACTTTCATTCTATGTGTCAAATTGAGTGTATATAGCAGCACACAGCACACACCTGACTCTATGTCATGACCTTGTATTACAACGAACACGTACATTTATATTTGTCTATGGTTGATACAATGTCATTTTTAAAGTAAACTGGATTATTGACAGATTGGACTATATACATGTAACAGCAGTGATCATAAATATATCCTTGTTGTTTGAATCATTTCAATAGAACTTTGACACAATAACAATCAAATCCATACAAGCACTGAATGAAACGTGTCACAAAATCATATAAATCACACCTCTACATATGTCACAAAGGTAGAAATCAATTAACCTAAGATTAATTAGCTCAGCATTCTTTTATGTTCTAGCAGATTCTTGAATGCAGAGTCTAAATGTATACCTATATTATACCTATACAGAGTTTTGCAAATTAATCTCCTAATGCATAAATAACTACTAGTAAATCAGGCATCAGGCAATACAAGCTTGCCTTTAATTCTTCATTTTATCAAATTTTACAGATTAAGATGTGTGTTTGTTTTCTTTCCTGATCAACAAGGAACCAAGAAGTGCTTAAAACATATAAGCTTCTAAACAAACAAATACGGACTTATTTGTCACAGTTATCTATTGATTTGTAGCATGATTTGGAGTAAACAACTGCTTAAAGATAAAGAAAAATAAATTCTTAAACAAGCCCTTTTTCGATATTTCTGGATTTAGAGCCATGCCTACTAACAGAAAGGCAGGTTCCCCAAAAACCAAGGAGCATCACTAGACCGTAAAAGATTATCTAGTCTGATAAATTACATGTGTCTTCTAAAAACAAAAACTATGCTATCCTTTCTTAAAAAAGATTTTATCTTCTTTTAATACATTTAAAGTTCTCCCCCAATACCTTGAAACAGTATCAATTCATTTTCTTTTTAAAAGTTTGGTGACTAAAACTCAACAAAACATCATAAGAGATGCACAAGGGAATTAGAGGTTGTAATCTTAGCTTTGCACTGTTTCAACCTTTTCATTTAAAGACAGATCTCATTAAACTTCACACAAAGTTCTAGGGCAGGAAATATCAAATGTCTGAAGATTGAATTACATCAAATAAACCCCAAAGACTTTTTAGTTGTTCTAAAATCTTTGAATAAACAAATTGCATGGTTTCCTTTCTCAAATTGTTTGTGCTGAGGTACCTGACAATATTACAAAGAAAATTTTATCTCTATGATATATTTATAAAAATGAGGATTTGGAATCCTTAGCACATTGAGAAACATGTTGGCTATAGTCTTAAGAGGAATTCCTTGTTGTCTGTCAACAGAGTATTCTGTCACATCAACGAGCGGATTTGGATTGGGTGTGGGCTGACACACACACAATTAAAACAGCAAACACTTAGAATTAGGGATAAAAGTATCTCATCCTTCAAGTATGAATACATTTGACTATTTTTAAACCATTTGGCTTAGATATATCTATTTTTTGGAAAACAATTGCCAATTATTGGAAACCTTACTACAAATGATTTACAGAGACATCTACATGCTACAATGTGCCGGTACACAATTATGGTATGGAATCATTTCCCTGTCTAACCATTAAGGAATACATGTACAAAAAGCAATACCTGAGTCAAAGTGACTAACAATACATTGACCACTAAATATACTTCTAGGTCACACATACCACAGATAATAAATGAATATCAACTATGCTCATAACGAAATATTTCTTGGACATTAATTATGTCACCTTGCTATTAATCTTAATTACAATCCAACATGTCACTGAAATGAATAGTCCAAAAATAACAGCGCATCCTCAAATTCAAATTCTTTAAATGTTCAAATTGATATCAGCCCGTAACCGTTAAAAATTCAAAAATCTGAAACATTCACTTTACCCAAGCCTTTTACATATCTGTTCTACCTGTCCAAACACCTGTAAATTTTGGGAGGGGGATGAGGGGGACCTTACCATGTTGAGGTACTTTTCTAGTTGTGAATTCACAAACTGAAGACTCCTAATATCCCAGTCCTCCTCGGCACTATCAAACGAAAAACGTGAAGCCATGTTCCTTCATCAAACATGATTCATTTATGCTCTCACAGGTAAAAATAATCAACAGGTAACTAGACAGCTCAGGTCCCCAGCAATAGCTTCCTGTATACAAGCCTGATATCTCAAGGCCTTCCCCTTTCTTCTAAAACACTGACTTCTCTTTCTCCCACTTATGAATAATTCCTTCGCACATGAAATGTTTTCCTTTTTTATCTCATGCCCACATATGTATCTGGCTATTTTTGGTGTGACCTCAGAATTCCAAGATGGCTGACTTGTAATAAACCTGATCAATCAAGCGCGAATCTACCTGCCCCCAGGTGGGAAGAAAAATGTCTGTCTTACATCTCTTTGAATGAAGAGGATTATCAGCACTTTGTTATTGTGGCTCTTAAAAACCTTGAACAGTTTAAATAAAGGGAGGATTAAATATCCTAATTACCAATAGCAGACAGAGTTGATCAATTCAAATGGCCAGCAAACAGCAGGTATTGACTTACTACACCCTTCCCTGTATTTATGTACTAAAAAATACATACTGAAATACTTACTTCTTTCATTAAAGGCAGCAAAATGGAACACTTTAAAATTTTCCTTGCAACTGTATTGTTTTAATTCTTAAACTAATATTAGCCTAAGAATCAATAGCAATGTTTTACTGTAAATCATCTTTTAAATGTTGACAAAAGACTTCAACTTAAATAATTCATTATTTCTCAGCAATTAGCTTATTGATTTTTTATTTCAATGAAACAGTTTTTAAAATTAAGTATCCTCAAATATTCATACTTCTTTCAGAATAATTACTGTGGGTTTGCAGAGCATTGCAAATGCTTTTCATGTTCTGAATATTTTTTTTAAATCATCACATTGATAAAATGATATCTTTGTAAGATATACAAAAATCATCCAAATTCAAGTAACAAAACAGCAGAGTTTTTAACAATACAGGCCGAAAATGAGAAAAGCATTGTGCACAGAGGGAGATAACTCTTGAATACTTCCCAAATTACCGGTAAAATGTGAATGTACAAAGTTTTATTCTTCTCCATTCACAAGTCCATTTTACACCTTCACACAAAATCAATATTTATGTCATAGAATTATATCTAAAATCAATATTCTTATTGTTCCACAGGGCCATTATTAAACAAGATTTCACTGCAAACCAAAAGCTTTCAAGAATACAATGGGGCGGAAAGCACCTCCTAGCCATACATTTTAATCACAGTGCATACAGATCAAGGCTATGAAACCTGTTTGCTTTATGTGGCAGTTGTGCAAACTTTTGTGTCATAATATGTGTAAATTTGGATAAGAATTTTACCAAACTTATACATTTATCACCAGTAATTTAGATACAGATAACCAATAAAACTGGCTTAAGTGAAACAACAGCTGTATTGAGCACATAGTCAGCATCTGCATAAATATCTCATTTTCATCTCCCACTTACTCATTTTCCAATTTCAGATATACATACTATACTTTTAATCCACTAAGAAGACAAGAAATTGTACCTCAGTTTGAACAAATCCATTTCATTTACTTCCACAACTCCTTTTCTTTCATATTTAAATTTTTTCCATCATTCTTTCAGTTAATTTCTAACTAAATTTCAGTGAAGAAAAAAAATTCCTAGTTCCTCATCACTGCTAACTACTGTACCTTGATTTGCATGGGAAAATCCATAGCATTTCCACATGGTTGAAGCTCGATTTAATGAAAGCCTATATCCCAAGAATCTTATCAGAACTGTTTATCCTATCACTGGTGAATTATGGACAAATTTCAGGTGAATGACATCTTTCATCCAAGGTCAGGAGGGGAAAACTGCCAGAAACGGCTATCAACTGATTGATTCTCCATTAATTCATGCACAGTAAACACTCTCTGCTGCATCATATTCCCTAATTGTTTGATTAATCATTCCGTAAATCAGCCTCACATTGACCAATCAGCATTGAGCTCTGGTGAGTAGTCCACCTAGGTTAATTATGATCGGCAGGTGAGAGGAACCACCTGACCCTTCCCTATATTAACACCTTTTAGGATCCAATTTCTACAAAGACTACTGAATGGGGATTGACATGAAAATTCCTTATCTTCCCTGTCATTCACAAATTTCTCTCATATCCCTTAATCGTAAATCTTGATCTCCTTAGTTCTGAATGGAAACCAGTTTATTTTATGGATACCATCATAATTCAGATCATCCTCTTGAATTTAATGTCACCCTTTTCCCTATAATCCATTGTTATTACCTATTCCCTCCATTAATTCTTTCAGGTAGCTATGATTTTACCTATGGTTTGTGGAGCTGTAAATAAATCCTTTCCTTACCACTGTGAGAAAATCAACCACAAATATTCTAACAGATTGCATTGGCCATTAAATTTGTATCACTCTGAAGAATATTTCAATAAACTTTCTTACATAAAAGATTTTAAATATTTGCTAAATGTTTCCAAACCAAATACCCATTTTGAGAGATTGAAATTAATTTCAATTCATTTGAATTTTTCCTGAGCACAAAATACATATATCTATAGAAAATTTACCATTGTGTGTCACACGTTCAACAAACTGTGCCTCCCGAAAACTACAATGCTCCTCAAGCATTACGGTCTATACATGTACAAGACATTTTCCCCCAAACTCTATCAATATTTGTACACAGGGGCCAGTCAGAGACAAGCTCAAACCATAAGTAAGAAATTGACTTCTGTCTGACCATATAAATTAAATCTACACCCACTGACCCATAGATCACTTCTTAATCCTTAATGAACTGTTTGTACAAGTCCGTTAAAGTCAAGTAAAAACATTCACAACCCTCTGTTATGTTTCTTCACCAACTAAACTGTGGCTAAAGAACATGTTAATCATTATGGCCCAGAAAATCAAGTCTGCCAACAAACCAGGACAGGTATTTTTGGGGGGCTCTGTATCACTTTTCAAAATCACAAGATTCATAAGAAATTACTTTGCATGAGAAAGCAACATTAGACCCCTTTCTGTGTTTTTCCATGGATTCAATGCAATGTGTCAAACCAATCACAGAATTCTCTCTACTGTTTAGGAGATCAGTAACAATGATTATTAGGAGCCCATTTAACTCAAATACTCAGTCCACAATCACAGAGACCTCAAAACAATGAAGTGTGGGAGGTCCAGACATTCAGAGGAAAGACATAAAAGATCTGCACAATCAAAACTTATAAAGATAGCAGTCAAACTTGTCATCACATTACGTTATTCACCTCTTCTTATCGAATATGTTCTTCCTTCTTATATCGATCAAATACTTAAAATCAATAAAGAATCCCTGATTTCTAAACTGCGTAAGTTTGTTTAATACTTACCAGTACAGGGCATATTGTATCTGTGTGAAACCTGTTAACTAATGGCTGAAAGCTTCCAAAATGACAAGGTCATTTGCTGAATCTTTAAGCCTGATAGCTTCCACATTGCCTGTATAATATCATCTGTTGAGAGCCAATAGTGGCACAGATACGAAAAACAATACCCACACAAAAGTTCTGTACAAAGGTTATTGAATAATAAAACTACATTCTTCTTATTTTCCCATTTTAAAAAATGACCACAGAAAAAATGTCTGTCAGGGGTCATATGTGGTGAATGCAAAATCAGTGAAACAACCAAACCTCTTGACAGCTGCAGAGTACACATAAAACACAATTAAACATCCTTAATATTCAAACAAATTCCCTCTCCTAGCTGTGATTTTGTTTCCAAGTGAACTGGTCAAAAGGTCTAATCAATAAACAATGTTTTATGACCCCTTCTCCCTAAGACTTTGTGTTTGAGGTATCGACAAAAAAATAGAAATTATTTCCATGCCTTGTCAATATTGACAGTGTCCTTTATGGCTTTTTCCACTGCAGAGATCTAAATCATATCCCAATTTGCTTAATTTCAAACCTCACAAAAGCCTTTCCTTCTGTTAATTAACACATTGATTTTTTGCACAATAAACCATACAATTCAATTTACAATCCAAAAATTCCTTTTTTCACTGATCAAGCACTCTTAATTATTGATAGCCTTTCCTATAGCTAATGAATGAACCAACCTACATTGATATTGGCAGTATAATTGAAAACTATTAATTCTTCAGAAGTTGGCACTTTACTATGCTACGTGTATGACCTTATGTTGTATTTTGCACACACTATCTAAATGGGGAAAAAATAAATCTTCAGCATTTCTTCACTCTTTCATTAATAAATATATTGAGATCCTAATCATCTTAATAGGCTCTTAATTAGATTAAGTACCACTAAGCGCCCAGTCTGCAGAAAGAATGCCACAACATGGCACCAAAGTATACTGCACCATATCAATACCTAATGTGCCAGGAAACAAGATTCCTTCAAAACAACTCCCAGAGGAATCTTACACTAAACAAAAATGATGACCCTTGTACCCAATCCTTGTAAATCCTTCAATACATATTGTAACTTTTTTTCACAATCTTTTCAATACAGGCCAAAAGCTTTCAGTGTTAATTAAAACTCGTCAGAGCAACTCATGAAGCACTTATTCAGGGAATCAATGACCTGTAGCTTGTTAAATTGAATTCCTCCTATCCTTTTGTCACAATGTCTCCCTGGGATGTGTTCCACATGAATCATCCCTCCATTACACATACCCAATCAGCTCAATTTCTAGCACCCTCCAACAAGATGGACTCAGTTGGTGCCACTATTGTAGGAAAGTGAATCATGCTGGGGCTATGGATTCATTAATGGCCAGCACTTCATTAAAAGGAGTTTATATGGGAAATGAAGATTAATGAACTTTGCTATAAGGCTAATTGACAAACTTTACCTCATGGATACGATTGTGCTTGCAAAGACAAAAAAAAAGCTTAATGAAGAATAATAATTCATTAAATACGACATTAAGAAATCTATTCTATATATTGTAAAAAAAATTTTTTTTGAAATCCAGACCTTAAAAAACCTGTAACTATGGTACAATGTATCTTCAAGGGCCTAAATTCATTGAAACAAAAAAAACCCATCTTGCAATGGTAAGGAATATACATAACCTCACATACCATACGATGAAAACTCCTGAACACCAACATCTTTATCCTAAAGGTTCTTGAATGTGATCAAACGATCTTTTTTAAAAATTGAACAAGATTTGTACATGTATCTGTAACATACCAAACGTGACAACAAATTTCATTCATTTGTCAGGTGGCCATAAATGTCAGAGATCACGAATCACTTCCTTGTCAGTAACTCCCTATAAATCACACTACGATTAGCTTCTAGTGTTTTTTTCTCATTAAACATAATTTTTATAAATATCCCACCCAAACGCATCTTATCATGGTGAATTAAATCAAATCATGAAGCCATTACTCCTCATAACAGAAATTTAATCATCTATTGCTTGGATGCATTAATTTTTTCCATTTAATTAACATATGATAATGCATGCCAGCATTTAAAAGAGAATAATTGTACAGTTATTTCTCCAACATCTACTCAAAAATTTATTCTGACATGCAAGAAAGCAAACTGATCATTGCAAAATTGAAACTGATCGTGCACCTTTTTGCATTGCAAATATACCTCTTTTGTGCATGTCAAAATCAGATATAAAAGTGTAATTATAACAAAGTTAAATCTCTCTTACAGTTGCCCCGTCCCATCTATTGTTCTGTATAAAATAAAACTGCACTACCTACCCCATTGACAGGCGAAGGTACTATTTCTCCATCTCCGTTTCTCTGGTGCGCTCTCTGACCTGGAAAATACAAATTAAGATTTCCGTAAAAATAACAAGCACAAATTACATCAAGCAGCTCAGGTAAACACATTCAACCTCCCTCGCTGTGTAAAAAAAAAAATCCAGAGCACAAAAACATGTTTTGAAAATGAACCCAACATCAAATTAGCTACGTTAAAAAACAGAGGTATTATCTGCAAAGGATGATAAATAAAGTTCAAAGATGGTGCATCAATTATCTTATTTTTTCACCCATTAAATGCTTCCATTGGCGTAGCTCTTCCTGATCATAATACGCAGTTACTTTAATGACCCAGTCTCCTTGAGAGAAAGTTAGGACCTCCATCCAATCCGAAAGAAAACACAACTAATAAATGACCCTAGATACCTTACTAGTGACTTTGACCCTAACAGATTTAGCACCCAGGGTGTCTCTTTAGTGGGTCTGAGGGACCCTGGGGTCACAAATGTCCTACACTTTCCTACATAACATTACTGATTTAACAAGAGGTTTACCTGCAGAATTACAAATTTATGACTGAGACATCAAAGAAATATTCAATCGCTGTCCATCACTCATCATCACCCATAATTCCCTTGTTCTATTTCCATGGAACAAGCCAAAGTCGTAATAGAATTTATCAGATTTTTATCTACATGTAATCCCCTTTATCAAAAGAAAGACCCTCGGTATTAGCTTATCCTGGTATATTTTTATTGCCTTCAATTCATATAACCTTGCAGAGATAAAGGTTTCTGATAAATGCCCATAAAACATAAAAAACATTTACAAAACCATCTCTCTACAAACCTCTGAAAACCTCTTCTTTTACAAGTCAAAGGTATTTAATATCCTCAAATCAAACAGATATGGGTGAATATATTCATTCACGAGTAGTATGGCATTTCTATCTATACAACACAAAATCTGATCTGTAGCTATACCCTGTTTGCTTTTAAAATGACAGGTATTTATCGTGTCACCTTGGAAGATAAATCTCAAGATTCTTACCTGCTCTCATTTTATTTCTTCAAGGTTTTCATTCCACACATAAAAAAATCAAATTTTATCCACTGAATAAAAATCTACGGCACATTCTATCTACACATCACTTGAAATCTACACTTCTCACTTATCCTTTGAAATAAATTGAAAGATTCCACAATGTATCATAAATCGCTTGCAGTATGAAATATCAAGCGGATTGGTATTGACAGCGAAGTAAATGCACCCTATGGAACTTTTTATCAGATATTACAGGGTTTAACAAACAATCACTTGGTACTGTTCCAAAACTTGAACGATCTAGTCCACAATTCTACATTCCCCAACACATACACTGCAGCAAATGTTTAGATCTACCTGTTGCGGTGATGGGGACCAGTCAAAATAAAGGTCCACAAGTCCATAAACACTCCAGTCACATCAAGTGCACTTGCCCCCACTCAAAGTCTGACAAACTGTTGTTGTGGTTTAATTTAAACCACATACCAATTCCAGCAGATACAGTAAATCAAGCACATTCCACACAGAAGCTCTTCTCTTCTATCCCTACTGTCAATCAATGTTAATCAGATCCCGGATCCTTGGAATTTTCAGACAATTCAGCCACTCCTTATCCTAGAGATTTCTGTCATCGGAATAATTGGTCATCAACATGAATTTCAACACAAGGTATTGATGTAGAGTTTGCCAAAATTACCCAGACAAGAACCATCAGCTCTAAAAAAAAATCCACACTCCTCTGGTGACAAAAATCAATTTAACTGTTCACAAAATTCCTGAGCCCAAACTTAATGTCCACATACACCAACCCTGTTGATCGATTTTCACCAAAATTCCTAACCCTTTGACACACAAACAAACACAATTAAAATTTTTATATTCGGAATTACAAATAGCTACTCAACAATAGAGGGCCTGTTTATGATTATATTCATAGCCACTTCCCAACAAAGATTTAGGTTATTTTCTGGCCGACAGATCAAATGGTCAGTGGTCATTTAGTCAAAACAGTTACGCATTAATCCCTAGATCTTGCTCTGTTGATGACTAAACTTAGGGTCCAGGTAAATCCTTTCACCACACTCCCTACCGATTGTTATCAGCTGAACATCTGACAATTTGTCAACAGTTCTACCAGGTATTGCCAAACATCAACACATAGACAAAAACAGTTTCACGAGAAAAAAGCTTCCCACATTCCAATTATTGTCTTAGTCGCCAGTCCCGAGTAGGTAGTTCTAAGGATAAGTGGTATCTTTTATATATATATATATATATTATACTTCTGATCAAATATCCAGGGTATTTTCACAATGCTATGCTAAAACAAATCCCATAGAATCTCTGGAAAAAAAATGTCTTTTCGAATTTTCAAATACACAACCATAACATATCGATGTGACAGATTAATTCTGTATTTCTTGACAAGTTTTCAATATTTCTTAAATTAATTTGAATACTCTCCACTAAAATTCTCAGTGTAAAGGGCTACAAAATATCTTTTATCACATTAGGAATCTCCCAGCCCAGGGTAAATCCTGTTTTAATGGTAGGTCTAATTTTCTAAAGGGCTGTACAACAGGACAATAAAAATGCACTTAAATCACTATTTACAAACTCTAAGCAAAAGTGGAATAGCTACACTTAAAACATACCTACAGTGGAGTATACATCAATTACAATGAATGAACAATCCATTAAAGCTTGAGTCAGAAAATTTGAATTACACCATTAATAATGATATTTTTACCAGTTTAAAACAGGTGCATCTGAAAGCTAAAAATGAAACAAAAAATAATCAACCACTTGATCTAAATAAGGAGGAAAGTGTTCTTAGCGTAAACACTTCAGTCAAGTCAATTATTGGTTACTCCATATTTTCTTTTGACTTGTAAATAAAAAGATCATTTGTCAATTATTTTGAAACCAAATACATCACTTACACCATGTAGACAGTGGGATCTATATAGAAAAAATAATCTCACATTTACTGACAACAAAATTAGGGAGTATTCTTTTTTTTCTTTTTTTTTTACACCAAAGTTATGTTTATTTACCGATACATCTTCATAAATAATTTGATAATTAAAAATTTCATAAAATTTCAAGAAATAATTGATAATGAAGTAATCTGATAAAACTATTGATTCAACATTTATTTGTCAGAATTATAACACTGACATCAATATTTTGCTATTATAAAATACCATCATATTTATGATAAAATAAAAGAAAATTTTTTAGCAGAGGAGCATTCTATTTATCACAGTTCTTATAAATCAACCTGACAGAAATTTACCTATCGGTGATGTAATATTTTTCCCAATATCCAATAGTAATTCTGACAATATCCACAGGGCTCCTTTTTCAAATATTGATTTGAAAAAAAAAATCAATTCATATATCCCAAATTAAGAAGCAAGTTTTTTGCCTGCACATATATTAAAACTCTGTTATTAGGTGGTAAGTTATAAAGCAGAATTCAATACCATGTCATCTAAAATGATTAAATACCATCGCCTGAAAAGAAATCTCTGACCTTGGAAAATGATATATACCTATCTCAAAATAGATTTTCATTCCTCCAAATTCAAAAAAAAACATTTTGCTCGAGTTGAACATGACTTTATACCCTGGACACTTAACCAGGAGATATAACTTTTCTTTTGAAAACTTGATCTTTATTTCATATAATGTCAGGTATTCAGAATTTAAAAGAAATTAAAATGTTGATACGTATCATGATTTTGTGGAATGATCCAGTGCTCCTTATGGATTGACGTAAAAATAGAATTTTGTACAAATGGTTCAAATACTCTTACTGCACGTAATTTGATGGCGATTAAATATTTGCGACTTTTCGTGATCTGATGTTATCTGTGATCGTCAGTCCAAACAGGGGGTACCTGATATTAATGACATTAAACCATGATTCCGCATATTTTTCAGTTTTTAATGCTTTCTTCACATGAATTAAATCTTTTTCAAACTACAATGCAATGAAACAGGTACCAGTGAAATGAAAAAAAAAAAAAAAAAAAAATGAATGTTAAATATGAATGATAAATGCATGAACTTCTGACATCTCAATTAACTAAATATTTTAAATGCAAATTCCTTGTACCTTTAGTCACCTTAGACCTATGTATTATATTACTTTTCTATACATTATCTATACTTTCAGTAAACAACCTCGGAAAGCACTACATCTTTCTTCAATGCAATGGAAAATTTTATTATATGATCTGTATGTGTGAACTTTAAACCTTTGATAGCTAACAACAAATTAATTTAATGCCTTTCTGTACCTTCACTTCATAAGAAATTAAAATCTATTCTTTATGAACTGAAAGTTTTAATTTGCAAAATCCATAAAAAAAAAACTTTTTAACTTTGCACAATAAGAAAGGTCTGATCTACTAAATGAAAACAGAGATTTTTTTTTTTTTATTAATAATAAATTTACTGATGTTATCATTGAAGGACAGACTCTTTTATAACTTTGATAACATATTTCATCTGCCATATCTCAAAGTCATATGAATTCTGCATTCCTCAACACTTATAAAGAAGGCCAGAACAGAGACTTCCATATCTAACCGAAATAATTACGTCTCCCAGGTAAGAAATTCACACGGGATACCCTCCCGTGAAAAACCTGTTAATACTCAACAGGTCCACATTTATCACATTTTAATGAGAGTAAAATAGATATGAGAGTTAGGTTATGCTTCGTTCTTGGTCAACTTGGTCTGTTTGAATGTTCATCCATTAGCACATTTTCATGCCAAGACCGTACTTCAAAATAAGGGTGAGAAAAACTTAGATCAGAGAGAGGGTACTTCAAAAGGCAGGATAGAAGTGATTTCACAAGTCCAAGATCGTTTAGTGTGCTCAGTATGATATGGGAGACTTTATATTGATCTAATGGGAGATAAGTAATTGTCCAATTATATATCGCAATTGCCCATTAAACCACATCTTTTTTTTAACAATTTCCTTTCAAATACAACTGCAAAAAACTTGCTCTTTGTATGGTAGCTTTAAAAAAAATTATATGAGAACTATTGAAATTATGGCATTCATTTTTGGGGTGAACTAACCTCTACAAAGGGAAATAACTCTTTTTGGAAGCTTGCACAGTAAAGAACAATAGCTGTGGTACAAAAAATTAAAATACAGATTTTTCTGCACATACCATGATTCTCCTCTGGTGTCAGAGTATCACTGCTTGCCCCACTGTGGAGGGTAACAGGAACTGCCCACCTGTCATATACAGAACGATCCCCACCCAGGTTCCACCTTTGAGGTATTTCTGAATCAGAGTATGCCCCCGCTTCACTAATGTAGCCATTTACATCACTTATATGTACTATATGTTGATTATTTTGAGGTGAATGTACATGTGGGCTCTCATAATCATAAGGATGGGAGGCTGGATACTGGGTTATCTCCCCTGGGTGGGGATAAGGCTCATGAGGGTAAGGATTTAAACGTTCCTCTGAGGGGTATGGTGGAATGGCAGGAGGAAGCGGTTCTCGGACGATAAATCTGACTTCTTCTCGAAAATTGTCCCATCCTCTCAATATGGCATGCAGATTTTCATGGGGGTCCAAAGCTTTCTCTACAATGTAAAAAATTTCCTTTATTAAATATTCATACATCTTTTATCCTTATTCTCATGGCTCCTTAACAATAACACTTGCCACAAAGAAATCTGAGCATTTTCCCTATACTTAATTGAGCTTGAAAATTTCTGCTTAACTCTCAGGTATCAAAAAGATCACAGCCAAAAAATGTAGTAACAGCTTTTGTTAAATCTGAACAGTCTACACAATCATACGGATATCTTGCATTCCTACCAAATAGGATTTAATTTCTAAGTCAACAACATAAGGGCTGAAAGCAACTGTGTGGTGCAGCATAAATAAATAATTCAACAGCTTTCATCACTTAGAAATTTCATTGCTTGCAGATCTTAAAATACTATGCATATTCTTGCTAAACACTGAAATTTAATAGTTATTTAATTATGATCAAAATTTTTTTTTTCAGAATATTTCTTCTACAAGATATATACTTCAGTACTAAACTGCACTGTTGTCATTTTAGAGTTTTGGGAAGAAATTCTTGAAACTTGAGGAGCAAATCTACACATCCCACCTCAGTTTTATTGGGTAAAATTCAATAATAGATAAATAAGATTAACTAGATATCATTGAGATGGTGGCCATCTCAAAGGGCCCTGCTTTCTGCAACGAACATGAAAATGTAAGGTAGCTGAAAAGGGTTTATTTTGAAGAGGAACATCTGTGTACTATTAAGGGATGTGTTGTTCGAGTCTAAAGGGCTTCTATGTCATCCTTGTTATGATAAAAAATGGCACGAAAATCACGAGTGCTCCATACCCTCTATTAAAAAAAGGTAAAAAAAAGTCACGAATGTTGCATATCCTCTATGCAAATTGTTGCATATCTTCTATCAAAATATGAAGGAAAATCACAAATGTTCCATACACTAAGTCAATTGGTAAAGTTTGAGGCTGACTGGACTTAAGGGAAAGAAATTATGCACCGAACAAAATTTTTAAACAGAGAGGCTATTTTTGACCTTGACCCTTGACCTAGAAACTTCAAGGTCACTGCGTATCCATTGACCAGTGGCACTCTGTGAGTGAAGTATGAGCCACATTGGACCAAGAGGTGAGAAAATATGCTCCGAACAAGGATTTTTCATATAATTCTGCCATGACCTTAACCTTAGACCTAGAAACATGGTTCAAGGTCACTGCACATCCTTTACCCAAAGACACTCTGTGGATGAAGTATGAGCCAGATTGGGCCAAGAAGAGAAAAGATATGCTCCGGACAAGAGATCTCATACGGACAGACGGACGGAAGGATGGACGGACAGACTGATCACTATTGGGCGCCCGCAGAGCGGGGCCCTAATTAAGAGCATAAAAAGAGGTACTGAAAAAAATGTAACCTTTCAAATTCTATTCACATTTGAAAAAAAAGCCACACACACACACAGGGCATGAAATATACTTCTACTAACTCAAAATTATTGGTACATTATAATTAACAAATACATCCAGACTTAATAAAGGACCAAAGAAACACAAGAAAATGAGGTATTAACCTTGTCCCTGCCATTGCTGGGTCAGATAACTACCCTCCTCCGAGGAGACACAGGCTACCACATCCTGGCAGATAGTTTCTGGGGTAATGGGGACTTCAAAGCACTTTTCCAAGTCATCACCACGGTATACTTTCAATATAATCTGTAAAGAATAATAAAAGAAAGTAGAAAGGTATTATATTATGCTTTATTACAAAGTTAATAAGATATATTTCATAAAGGACAATTTTTTCATCAGCATTTCAGAGATGTGATTGTGATAGCATTACACTTGTTTGTTCACTGAAAAAAATTCAAGTGATCAATTAATTTAGAAGTCTCTGTAGAATGTGCTAAAAGGGACATAACTCCTGTTCCATGCAAGATCTTGATAGTTAAACTTGACAGAGCATGAAATACAGAAATAAAGAATATGACAGAAAAGTGTTCATGTAAGGCATATGTTGCTACAAAATACAATGATAGTCACTAGAAACAAAGAAATTCTATTAGAACAACAATGAATAATGACTTGTGAGTCACAGAGGTTTGTTAATCATTCCTTACATATCACTTTAAAGATTTGCCAATTAAAATACCATTTAAATGTTTTTTTTTTTTGTTTCTCATTTTTCATTCTGACAACAATGCATATAAAAACTCAACTTGAATGAACATGCTTGATTATGCTTTTTTTTTTTTTTTTTTTTAAATTTTCAATGAACCACTTTATCATCATTTCTCATCTTAGGATTTACAAGGATATGCACTACACAAACATTTCTTGAAAATGAATCCAGTTAAAAGAATATATGCAGATTTTAATGAATTAAACAAAATTGTCTCGAAGGACATGGGACCCTGTATAAAGTATGGGAGGTGATACATGAGCAAATTCCTCACCCTTATGAATTAAATGTGCAGTTTTCATGCAATTACAATTTCCCCTGCATGCCTGCAACGTGTCATCAATTCCCCTACACCAGCAGGTATTTTCTGAGATGTAATTAATTAGCTCCTACATTAAGCTGATTCTATCATGTAATCTGCATGTTCACAAGATGATTGGCTCATGTAGTGACCATAACACCTGTCATATTGTGGACAGGTAAATATTTACAGGTGTGATGTAACACTTGCACCAACAAATAACTCAGGTAAGCAAATATTTATGGTGCTGACAAAATCTATGACATACTGCCAGATAACACTGTAGGTAGTTTTTTTTTTCTTTTAACATTGTCATAAACTATATTCAGTTTAAGATTGATAAAAACAGTACACATTATGTAGAATATGTACAATTCAGAAATTCATTAAATTGACTTTTGGTTTAAGACAAGCTTGGCCCCAAATAAAAAAAAAATCCCCAAAATCATGATTATTTCTCCTTAATATTTATGCAGTGATAAGTTATTTGTATTTATAACTTGTAAGTATAACTTGTAAATCAAGGTTCCCTCATACACTGAAATAGACTCTCCCACTATGCTTTTCTGTAGGTAATTATCTTTCATTTTCTCTCAAATATGGCAAAACTTGAAGAAAAAAAATCATTCTCATACATTCATGATTAAACCATTATATTCTGAGTAACCAGAAATCAATTTAAATCATCTATTCATAGCCACAAAAATTTATTTATAAATGACATAATTTCTAGGCACAACAAGAATGGTGACACTGCATAATTTGGGACTGCTTGAATGCCACCTGGCAACTCCAAAACTTTTGTAAAAAATGTCGAGTTAAGTATGCTGAAGACATTTTTTTCCTTGATACAGGTAAACCAATTGATTATTGAAGTACAATGTTGTTACACTGTACTAGGTAGAAATTCATTGCCACTTGTTCAAAATATGCCCATAAAAATGGAGTTCCGTTTACAAGTATTTTATAAAAATATTGTCTCCTTGTAAAATTGTTAAAACTTTCACAGCTTTCATTGTATCCTATTACGACATTATGATATTTAAAAAAAAAATCCTTAAACAGTGCAATAGTAATTGAAGAAAATACAATTTGCAAATAAGCTTTGCAAAATATGGTCCAAAATTTTTGAAAAGCAAAACTGTATGGGGAAAAACTTGATAAGAATCCATCAGCTTTCAAGGAAAAGTACATACCTGATTACTTGGTACAAACAACCCAATCAAAACCATCCTTACATATTTGCTGGCAACCTCCTAAAACAGGAATTACAGCCCAGAGGAAGAAAAGTGTGCACCTGAGTCAGCTGTTTCAAGTTTTGAAAAAAAAATTAAGAAAAAATGTATTCCTGACTGCTTGACAAGGTCATTTCACTGTTCTTTTTTTTCTCAAGGGTAAATAATTGTGTGCTGTAATGTATACTTGGAGACTAGAAACCTGCCTGTTGTGACTAATGTACTAACATTATACTTTGCCTGGTCATAACACAGTGACTGATGCCAAACATCAAGTACTTTGTCAGTGTATCCAATTTACCTGGGAAGAGATGTTAACATACACCAATTTCATCAGGAATATAAATAGTTCGTTCACCTGTGTTCATGTGTTTATGGCAGACTACCTTCTGAGCCAACAATGCATAACCTATGGTGATCACAGAAAAAATGTGTCCCAAAATAATTGTCTTATATATATAGACTAAATGAATCATGCCACAGCTTTTTAAGGAAGAAAAACTGCATATATAAAGTATATTCTCAACATAAAGAGAACTTTCGGCAAACCCACCCACGGTCACGAGATTCACATCTAAAAATTTAAACCTTAAATCTGTTTAATGAAGAGCACAACAAACCGTTTGAATTTAATTCATCAAATAGAAAACTTTAGACTTATTTTTTCTATACTTCAAGACAGATAAGGTTATTAAATGTTTTGCCTTGGCCATGCAAGGTATATATATTTAATCTTCAGCTTAGAGGTGCATTAAGACCCGAGGCCTAGTCTACAGAGACCCCTTCAGTTTTGACATGTAGAGATTGCCTGTATATGGAACAAAGAATATGGATCTCTTAATGTAATGATGTACAATATGCAAAATGAAAAGAATCACAACTTTGAAAAAAAAAAAGAATATATTTTGTAACAAGATGTTACAAAACCGAGTGTCTAACAAACTGTCTACAAATCTTACAAACCTGTTTATAGACAAAAATTTAACATTTTATTTTAATACACCTTACCATTGATAATGGCAGCTGAAAATTCTCCAGGTACAATATTATAAGATAAAGAAACACAAGACACGACAATCTGACCACATACTCTGACCATCTATAAAAAGTGTTAAACACTAATGGTGGAAAAAAGTCTAAACTAACACAATGATAATCCTAATCTGAAACCTGTTCTAATTCTATTAATGAGTATTACACAGTGGTCAAATAACAAATACCCTGATATATAAATTCTATATTTAGGGCAATCCACTTGACATATTACACATAGTAGGTACAGTATCAGGCTACCCTAGGTAAAGTTTCCCTCAGAATACAATTGTAAATTTCATGTAAGTGCAAATGTCACCACAGACAAACTGAAGTATGACTGTCACATTTTTCTTTCATGACAATATTCAAGGAACAGAAAATGGGCATGCATAAGAAACCTGAAAGTTTCCAACAACTTTCTTATGAAATAAGTACAAAATGAAATGAAATTCTGCCAACTTACATGCTTCGAATCTTTGGGAGATTCCGGTTTTGAGAAAACAGCAAAGTACATCCGAAAAAACTAACAGTAGTGAAACCTCAGTATTCACACAAATATGGGATTATTGGCGATTTAGTGTCATGCACTCATGAGAACTGTCATTTCATCATAGCAGACGTCAGTCCATCCAGAGCAGACGGCAATGGTCAGACATCGCCCTCAAATGATCCGATCTGGACAGGTGTGTCGTATTCCAGACGAATCCAAATATTCACTCACACTTCCTTTCATTAAAAACATTGCTATACTAACAGTCCTTTATCATTTTGTATTTATGTATCTAAATTAAAAATCCAGGTGTGTCTGAATCCAAGTGTGTCAATAAAGCAGATAAATGAACACAGTTTTCTGGTCCTCAGACTAGTTCACTTCTTCATAAAGTATCAGGCTTGTAAAAATTAAACCACTGATGTTGATGTCTTTATCATAATTACAAGAATTTCCTGTTAAATTGAATGAAATGTTTTCATTTACCTTCAGATCAATGGCTCACTGGTAAGCATTTAAAATATCTCTTTACATTTAAATTGATAACAGACAAAAACATGTAAAAAATCTTATGTAATCCTTTAGATATGCACTTTTCAAAAGAATGAATGAAAAGACACCTCAGAGAGAATTTTCCATGTCCAAAAACAGCTCCACCATTACACACAATGTCATCTATATCCTACAAACAATTCATTTAAAATCACGCATAAATCTCTCTATTTTTTCCTTCTTCGTCACTTGTGTATTGAAAATAGGGTAAAGTTGTCACATGCAGTCTCAGCCCATTCACCTCTCAGGTGAGTTATGTACATACTTCAAAGTGTATAAACGTCCCTATGCCGGCTTTAGTCTTCCTACACAAGACTTAATTCAGTTACTTGAACCCTTCAGTCTCTGTCACCTTAACCTTTGGAAATGTCTGCACACACACTCGCCTATCTCTTTAGGTGCACTTAACTTTCATTTAATTATGGCAATGTCTTCTGAAGCGTATCAATGCACAAGAATTAGATATCTAAATTCATTAAGGTGTTAAAACAATTCCAAAGGTATTTTGGAATGTGTCACCTTGTTCAGGGTCTGGTTGAGCCTATAATGGTTAGCTGGTGTTTTCAACCAGTGTTTTAAGTCAGATTTTATCTGAAATTTTTTCAAACTTTGGATAATGTGGATTACATTTCCCTAGTTCTTACACTTCATGAAATCATTAACCTTTAGACTATCACTAAAAAATGAATGTTAGGTTGTAACAACAACAGGATTACCATAAAACAGGCATAATTCTAAGAATTATCACTGCATGGATAAACAAATTGTGACAAGTCAGTCATGTTTTATTTACTTAAGAGTTAAGACTTCCTCAAACTTCTTTCTCAACTTCTTATTTCTTGAATTTCAACTGTAACAAAATGATTTGTGAAATCTCAAAGCAGTGGAGCCCACCAAAATACCTCAAATGGGTCCCCAACTCCCATTTCACATAGTTTAACATTCGTTATTGTACAAATGCCTATTATTTTAACAAAGGAATCACCCACAATCCAGAAATGATTACAATTTGGGACATATATAACAAGACTCCCATAATCAAAGTGAAAAAGTTCAAACAAATTTGCCCTTTAAAAATTGAAAACAAATACACACTGTAATTGTGAGTTAAAAGTTAAAACTATAATTACATGCTATTAGTGAACAAATAGATTTTCCTTTTCCTTGTCAAGAAACATGAGAAAGTTTGTGTTGGGATACAATAGGAACAATTTTTGCTACTTTCAATAGATGACCAATGATTGAAAATATAGATTATAAACACAGCTAAGGAAATACTTCAATGGTAAAGATCAGGATTTTCTTGGTACAAAGCACATATTTTCAAAAAAAGATTTTTTTTAATAAACAACACACTAAATTTCCATCCACTTATTCCTATTCAGATCTAGTGCTACAAGCCCTTTTTAATAACTGAATTGGAAATAGTGTTAGGAATTTTCAAGTTTTCAAAGAGTTCAATGACTGATAACATTTTATTTAGGAGATTATATTTCATAAAACACCACAGGATGTAGGTGGATCACATGATCATAGGGCACATGCACTCAGCATCACTAACCAGTGGGGTTTCCACACTATTTACCAGCCTTGATGCTGCAAACATCCCATAACACCAAGATTTATCAGAGAATTTTAAACAAGTGGATCAAAGCACAGATATGTCAGGTTACATATAATTTTTCCAACTGATGTTCCATCCTCTGCAGAATAGGAATTACCTAGAGTATGCCTATATTTTTTTCTGTACATTATTCTTTCAAATAATATGTACTAGAATAATGTTTTTCAGTATAAGCCCACACATCAGCACAAAAAAAAAGATTTAATAACATGATACAGTTGGTACGGTTGTGCATATGCCGCTTGGTCACAAATGCATTAGTGTGACCTAATAATTTACTTTTGAAATATATCCACATGAAGAAAGAATGATAATTTTAATAAAATGCTGTATAATTAAAACTGCTGGATAGATAAACTAATATGTCAGATGTGATTTAAACTTACTAAGTACTCACCATTTTGCTAATTCTCATAGCACACCTACAAGAATCACAGATCCATCATGGTTTTCATTTTTTAGCTCTTTAATTAAATTCCAGTCCATTTTTCATCACTATTCTCTAAAGTCTTGCATATATGAAAACAGAAAACATGTTTAATAACAGTGGATCTTGATTATTCTGGCATCCATCCGCTCTTCATAAAGATTATGAGCTGAAACCTGAAAAAAATGCAACATCAACAGGTTAACAGCTAAATCTTACACTGGGTAAATGATTACCATACAGATAGAAGACCTCGTCAATATATATATGTTACAACAGTTTTTTGAATTAAGACAACATTCCAGTACTGCAAAAGCATATGATGCTACATGAATGTAATTACCGGTAGTTTTTTTATGGTTAATCTATGGTCGATTTGAGTGCTAAATGAAATTTTGTGAATGTAGCTTCCCGATTTTGAATAAATATTTTTATATCAAAAGATCAAAAGAAAATATATGTAATATTAAAATAAAACAGCATCAAATACCAGTTAATTTTCTTTTGTGTGCAAGTTAAGGAAATAAAGAGAAATGAATGCATGGTTTGTGTTCATGACCTTTGCCCAACATAGGGGGTGTATCTACATATATACCACAGATACATTTAATACAGAATAATTTGTCTAATACAGATTATGCAAAAACTCTGGAATTTTGTCCATTCCTGCCTTAAATTTTAGTCTCATGCTGACTGTAAGCAAGGTTGATAAAATCCCTGTAGCATCAACTTAATTGTCAGTAGCAAAATTTTAAAAAATGTAAATGTGTTGATGTTAAACATGTAAAATGTGCTATTTGACTTGCCAAAACCAGTGTTGCACTTCAAGTTAATGGGTTGTAGAATTCAACTCCAGTACATTTCAGGTTGAGTTTCAAGTCTCAAACTTTGTAAATGAAAATGGACACTCCTAAGATCAGGTGTTAACTCCTCATTATATATTTCTTTGTTAATTTATATTAAATTCTTTTGATAATATTTTGTCAATATATGCATTGTACTTGTGAATAAGATGAAGGGAAATAAATCTCAAATATTTTTCTGCATTTTTCCTGCACTCTGCTGGATTCTAATCCAGCCAATTTTCATGGAACCAGTGTATCCTGTTTGGACAAATTATACTGTATATACTTGAATCCTGATGTGCTCTTTTGACATTATACACATCTCGATACATACTATATAAAATAACAATTCAAGAAAATGATCCATCATTGAAGATATACATGGTAATTTTATTTGTAGAGTTTTCCCTTTGAACATCCATAAATAGTGATTATTTTTAACTTGTGTGATTTGATTATGTTTATCACATGAAATTCCATTTATCTTTATGGAGATACTTTTTGCAGCTTGTAAAACTTGAAAAGTCTGATCAAAATATGTTTTGTCTTGTAGTGATATTTCATATCATAGGACAATTCATAAATCTTGTTTCGGTCACAATCATGATAAAATTTTGAAAAGCTGCTAATTTCAGAAGAGTTGGTGTTCAGGACATTTGCCATACTTGAGAATATCATAAGGTTGAGTAGGTTTTTGACTTTCAGTAGATTTTCAGAGATTAACCTTTTTCAGTTGCCTCAGCAGTGTTCGAAATTACCATCGGTCCGTCGGTCCTGTGCCGACGTATGAACGGAAGGACTCACGAATACTTTGACTAAATGGGTCCTTGACATAATTTTGGGTCGACGAAGATTTGCTGGGAAACAAGATAACGTCGATTGCATCTTCTCATTTTTTACCGCTTGTCGGAAATGCCCAAGAACTTGCGATTGAAGTTAACCTATGTTAATTTATGCATTTACATTCATTTTTATATCTTTCCTGCATTTTGCTTAGATATATTAAACAAACTGACCAATGACCGTCTTTAAAGAAATTAGATTTGAGATGGGTAAAACTAGTTATTTTTATCAATTCTTCTTTTCATCTGCTTTTTAATTAAATACTGAAGATTTAATTTTTTGGCATGGTATAAATTTACGCTACATATGTAAATGTACACGGTTACAAACTTTTGTCCCAGTGTACTTCAAGCACATTTTATTAACACACTGTGACAATCTAGGAAACTTACGTAATTTTCTATCCACGGATTTTAAGAACAGAAATTGTAATTCCGCGGAAGTTTGAGCCCCTGGAAGAAAAGGACGTTTACAGGTAATTTAAACACATTTTAAACTCGCTAAGTGTTACATATGACCAAGTAAGACTGTTTGACTTTTAATGTTTTACTGTTTCATACTGTTCGTATAGTGTATTTGTGAGTTGTAGATACCCTTTGTTAACATGGTTATATATGAATCGATAAATTTACCGAGATCATCAATAAAAGTTTATTTTTACAAAATATTTGATGGTATTATTTTTGGGCCTACGCTGTCCTGGAAGGACTCGTGTAGCCCCTTTATTTGTTGGTCCTTTGGACCCATAGAAAATAATTCTGAATTTCGAACACTGTGCCTGAGGAACATCTTTGATTAAAATCTTAGACAAAAAGAATTATAAGCATTTGTATAATATTTTTTAAGCAGTTGTATAATATTAAGTTTTATAAGCATTTGTATAATATTTTTAAGCAGTTGTATAATATTAAGTTTTACTGAAATCAAACCAAAACACTATTCTATTTTTACTATAGTTGTCCAAAACGGAATGAGCATTCGAGTTTTTAAGGCATTTCAAAGAAATTTCCGTCAGTAACTATGGCAACACAAATTATCGAAAGCAAAAACCAATATACAGTATTTTGTGTCTTCATGTAGGCTACTAGAAATACGGACGACGGACACTTAAGAATCGCGTAAGCTCTTCTGATCAGGTCCCTGTTCTGATCTTCAACTATATAGGGCCTACTGAACTATACTTTAGAGGAAAAGTTCCTTAAAATATATACATACGCTAATTAATTAAACATACGCATCAAAACCAAACATTTCCATGAAACTGTTTTTTCGGTAATCATTTAGTCTACATTATTTCCTTACCAAAACGTTCCCGCAAAATTTGCTTGTTGTTCAAACCGGAAACCTATTTGTAGATCGTAAAATTAAAGACAAACATGTAACGGAACTAAACATTCCGACGTACTATGCATGACCCGCGATATAGTATACTATAGTCAGAAAACATAACTACTTTATTCCTGTGCCCCCTCAATAAAGTCTGATGACTCTTTTTTTTTCGCTTGTCAAGGATTATTTTCTCAGTAGTGTTCCCCAAACTGAAAATGTTTGATTCCCCCCCTTTACTTCCTACGGGCCTGCTATAGACAAATTTCTTAATTTCCAAATCAGGGTCCTTTATAGATTATATAAAAAGTGCGTTTCAGAGATATCTCATCTAAATTCCCCTACAGTCTCAGTCTGTCTCTTTGACAGGCGGTGGATCCAGATTTTTTTTTTCAGTTTGGGGTGCCTTCTAACACGGCGGCGTTCTGATTCATGTAAGTCTGGTTATACGACTTTATCTATTTTACATGCATTTACTCATTCATATGTTTGGGTTTTTTTTTCTTGTTATGGTAGTTCGATCCTCAGCTTCTGAAAATCAGAATGTGCGTAATTGAAAATGCTCACTGAGAAAAACGTCTCTGAATTCACAAAGTAATGTGTATTTACCCATGGTATTTCTTCAAGGTTCATCATTATAGTTTTAAAATCATATTATATAGGAAAAATTATCAAATCTCAAATCACAAAATATATTTTCAGGAAACCGGCGAATGTAAGCACCAGCTTTCATTCGCCATTCACTAGTTGGAATAATCTGTGTCTCGGGACAGGCCCTCACCACGGTCCGTAGGGCATTTATCATTTTAACGATAGAACATTCTATCTAGCCATTCACCAGCATTTTCTAAATTGATCAATAAATATATTTTAGAATAAAAAAAATATAGGTATCCAGACAATCGGAGAAATTTGCATGTTTTTCATACTTAAACGGTCCTTTAGCTATCACATAGTGTAAAAAGCTTCTGCTGTCACTGGAAGACCTCACAGATGACTTCTAATTTCATATCATGCTAATAAGCATTGGTATCTAAGGCTAAGTTAAAGGAAATTTGTTTTCTCTACAAAATGTATTTATTTTTGTAATTTAATGGGATGTCAACTTTTAACAATACAGTGTTTTAGACTACGAAAAACCTTGAACCATATTGAGATGCATGGAATAAAAATTGTTGCACGAAAAGATTTTAATTTCAAGTTTTATTTCGAGACTCTTTTAATTAAATAATAATTTTATTTTTTTTGGGGGGGGGGGTGGATGGATAAAAAAGTTGAAGATAACGAATAGTGATCGATCTAAAAAAAAATTAAATAAATAATAATAATAATAATTTTAAGGAATAGAAACAATACAAATCTGTGAACAGGGCATAAACACAGACCCCGGAAATTCCAGAGGTGGGATCAGATGCCAAGGAGTAAGTATCCCGTCAACCAGTTACACCCGCTCTGAGCCCTACGGATTATTCTAACCAAATTTAGTATATAAAAAAACAAAGGCCTAATAATTGGTATGAAATGTGTCTGAATATGTATATCTGAATGTCAAGATGAAACCACAGCAAGTGTTTTCTTCTTCGAAATTCTTATGTAGAAGTTTTTGAATAAATTCTGTTTCTCAGGAATACAAAAACAGGTCGGCTAACAAAGGAGCACAATTAGTGCCCATCGAAATTCCAACAGTTTGCTTGAAGACCTGATCTCCAAAGACTACATAGATTTTCGAGTTCCATCATCTTCGCTAGCCAAGGGTTTCTGATCTGCTACCCTCCTCACAAACTTGTGTGTAGTGGATCAGAAACCCTTGACTAGCGAAGATGGCGTTCCATTTCCATTAATAGAAGCAGTTCTCTACAATATCAAAAAGCCTAATTTTTAATTTATCGCGAGGAATGGTTGTATAAAGTGTAGAAAAGTCATACATTTTGATGTTACTTCCTTTGAAAATTTTGTGATTTAAAATTTTCATTAAAGTTCTTTAGAGTTTTTGAGAATCTACATTTGATTTACACCACTTCTAGAATATGCTGTAGCATAGTGCATCTGAAGTTTCTCCGTTTTAGTTGTTAATATTTTTGTGGGGAGTAAAGATAGCGGCTAGGTAGAGCATTTGCTGGACCCGGCAAAGTATCTGTTTGTAAGAAATCCAGTATAGTTGGGGTAGATTGAACTCACCTTTGTTGACTGGAATGTTAAAAGTATTAATTAAAGACTGAAATGTGATTTTGAAGAATTTCATCCCTAGAAAGTGAACTGTGAATGTAAGTTGGATTTCCAGATCTATAACAGAGGGTAAATAACATTTTTGGAGCAACAATAAAAAGTGTGAGGATTTTAGTCAATAAATAAGATTATTTTCTGACTGAAATACAACATATGTTTAGGACAATTTTCTAAGGGTGATGGGGCACCCCATCCCTTCTTACGTTTCCTATGATGTGTGTTATATTCATATTAAATTCACCTGTCCTCTGCGTAAGTTGTTTGTACATCATAGAACATGCTGTGTTATTGCAAAGTTTGTGGAGTTTAAATAAGTTTTAAGTTGAATTGTAGAAAATTCTGATACAGGAAGAAATTGAAATAACAAGAGGCCCATGGGCCACAACGCTCACCTGAGTCACTGGCCCTGCTGTTCTGCGTCAGATTTTCCCCCAACATACATGTTTTCCTCTTTATTTTTAATGACTTTTATGACCCCATCCACAGGGGCCGTGATTTGAACAAAAATGGATCTACACTACCAGAACATGCTTCCACATTAATGATTCATCATGGATTTGCTCTTGAAGAGTTTCAAAGATTTCCCCCTTAATAATCCCTATTATGGCCCCATCTGACCCCAGGGGACATAATATGAACAATTTAGAATCCACACTTCCTTAGACAGCTTCAACATAAACTTCAGCTTTCCTGGTCCAGTGGTTCTTGAGAAGATATTTCCTACATATTTCAATGTAAAACTTTGATTCCCTGTTGCAGCCCCACCCTACCCCTTGGTGCCTTGTATTTGAACAATTTAGAATTTACACAACCTCAGAAAGCTTCCATGTAAGTTTCAACTCTCCTGGTCCAGTGGTTCTTGAGAAAAAGATTTTTACAGATTTGTCCTATATATTTCAATGTAAAACTCTGACTCCCTATTGTGGCCCTACCCTACCCCCGGGAGCCATGATTTTAACAATTCAATATCTACGCTACCTCAGGAGGCTTCCACATAAGTTTCAGCTTTTATGGTCCAGTGGTTTTTTGAGCCATTCATTTTTAGCAATTTAGAATCCCTTTCATCCAGGGACGTTTTGTACCAACTATGGTTAAAATTGGCCCTGTGGTTCTTGAGAAGTTGAAAATGTGAAAAGTTTACAGGTGGACGGACACCAGGTGATCAGAAAAGCTCACTTGAGATTTTAGCTTAGGTAAGCTAAAAACAAGGTATATTGTTTCATCGTTGGCTCACTCATTCATTCCATCGATTCACTGATGTCACAAGTGCGAAAAAAATATTTTTAAGTTATTTCATTTTTTGTAGCATTTGCAACAGCTTTCACCAGGCGTCACCATAGGCATTTGTTTCATATATGGGATCACCCCCTTCTTTTTCTTTTTTCAGTGTTTGTTTTTCTTTTTTTTTCTTTCAGAAAAAGAAGCGGGTGACCCCATATACGAAACAAGTTCCAGTGGTCAAACCTCGTACTCAATGGGACCGAGAAAAACTTTGATACCGATGCATATCTGAGAGTTTTAGAATTTAAGATTAAAATGCATAAAGAAAAAGTGGAAGAGACTTCCAACTCACTTTGACATATCTATATGTGGAGATACAATGCATTGATGTTCAAGATATCAAAGTTCAACTGTACATGTTTTCCTCAACATAAATAATTGGTTTTATCCAGCCTATCAATTATTCTTGGAAATTGTATATAGTGAATGCTTGCAGTAGAGAACTGCAGGGGCAGATAAATCAGTTAACAACAACTTAAATCAATGTAGTTAACACAGTGTACTTAAGGACAGACGATGCGTTCCTCTATAATATATTATTTTTTTTCTAAGATTTTGTCATTGAAGTATTGCTACTTTAACATGTTTACTCGCAAAAAATTGAGGTACCTTACCAGGCATTTGTGTAAGATACCAGAGGATGTTTTTCCTATAAAATCCTTTTGGAAAAAAAACTTAATTAGCCAATAACATATTTTTTGGTGTTTCATTTTTTTTTTAAAGACAATTAGAAACCAGTTTAGAAATCAGAAGGTAATTAAAATTTTGAATATTTTCAACATAATTTGAAGGTATACAAAACAGATATTTGAGGAACGTATCGTCTGACCTTAAGCATCACCAAAAATAGTTTGTGCACAAGTATGCAAGACAAAACACTTTCATTTATTCATGTTTAATAAATTCATTTCTATAAAGTGCCATGACAGAAAGAATTTAGATTTCATTAATTTATTGTACAAATATTATATTGCATACATTAGCTTTATAATCAGTACATTGGCAACAAAGTACAGCAACAATATACACCCATTCTTGCAAAAAAAAACAAATGATATCACAATAGGAGGCCATTGGACTCCATATATAGGCATGGCTAGATGACTTGGTATCAAATAATCTTTATTACATGTATATTACTATTTTACACAAACATTTAAATATTACTATTTTTCAGCAATTTTTTGTTACCATTACTATATATCAATCTACTATTTAAAAACCAAAAACTCGTGGGTATTACTTCCCATGTTTGAAGTAGGGAAATTTCAGGTTACCTTATCTTAAAATCCTATTTCCATCACTACAAATGGCTTCCTTTGAACACTGAATAAAACATTAATATCTATAATGTAAACTCGCTTAATATCATGTTTTATACAATTTTTAAAAAAAATCACAACTTCAGTTTGCACATAATTACTAGTAGCCTCCCTTTTCCCTTCACACAACAGAACAGGAATGTGTTTTATAAATATAAACAGTACACTTGGGACACTCATGAAATCCTTCATATCATTGTAAAGAGTAATTGCAATTTGAAATGTAATAACTTTATAACCAGAACACATGTTGATTACCTTAATAAGAATCCACGTGTAGAAATTCAAGAATGTAAAATATTTTTCTGTCGGCATAGCCATAATAGAAAAACATAGTAGGGCGTGCTTATCATATGCACTCCGTTTTAAAATGGCAAGCATTTGATCTACAACATAACCAAAGCCCTGAGCACTGCAAGTTCAACTTTCTTACAAATAAACATTAACCTCCTAGTCTAGTATGCCTACCTAAGTAACAAAAGTTCCGTTATAAACCAAAAATTTTGTTCATGTAAATTATCACATAAGCAACAATAGCACATATTCATACCAAACAAACAAAAAAAAAAAAATCGAACAGCACTTTGAAAATAAACGTCTCAAAGCTGATAAGAAAATGTGGCTTTCACCTGATTTATCATCTCAAGAAGTGCACAAATTTCATAATCTGAGATCACCTGGAAACCCTTCTCATACATTCAATCCACATTTAACTTGTACCCCTTTTTGTTCACAATTCGACACAACTTTACTCCCAAATCCTTGGCCAATTCTTATGGGAAATTGTGCTAATGGTGGCACATAGAAACTATAACAAATGTAATTAACATGAATATAACAAGAACCAACTTAAAATTTCTACAAAGAACATAGGAGCAGCAACAGGAGATCCCTAATAGTGAGTATTCAAAACTAGGCAAAAATCATATTCAGGAACTTTGAACACAACCTATTTGGCAAAATTTCTCTCCAACCAATCTGTGGATTTCCAAGGACTGCAATGTGTAAAAGAGATTGGACAAAATGCAAACACACCTCAAGCTTTTTTCTCAGCATTGAAATTCTAATTTGAAAACTTTTTTCAAAATATTTAACATAGGTAATCAAAGATTACGAAGCTCACCTCGACAAATGTTATCTTTAAGTAAGGCAAATTTCACATCATATTCTTTTTTTAGTTAGTGTACATCCCAAGATCAATATCCATGCAAGTTTGGTTCAAGTACGACTTATAGTTACTTGGAAATAGACCTGTTCAAAAAACATTTATCCTGTTTACTAATCAAGAAAATTTTGGCCAGTTCCAACATCCAAAGCAAGTCTGGAAGTTTTCATCCTTAGATGCACCATCTATGCAAGCTTAATCATAACAAGCCATAATGTTATATAGCTACTCCAAAAAAATATCCTGGTCACTCATCTGGAAAATGTAGGTCACATTCAGAATCCAAAGCAAGTCTGGAAGTGACCATGCCTAGCTACATCATCCATGCTAATTTGGTTAAAATATGGCTAAAATTTACTCATATGGAAAAGCTTGGTTGAATCCAGCATTCGAAGCAGGTTGGTTAGCGTACATCCCAAGATGCATCATCCATGCAAGTTTGGTCAAGATAGGGCTTATAGTTACTTGGGAATGGACCTGCTCCAAAAACTTTAACCCGGTCACTCATCTGGAATATCTAGGTCGAATCCCAGCATCCGAAGCAAGTGTGGTAGTGTCCATCCCTAGATGCATCATCCATGCAAGTTTGGTCAAGGTAGGGCTAATAGTTACTTTGGAATGGACCTGCTCCAAATACTTTAACATGGTCACTCTGGAATATCTAGGTCATATCCACCATCCGAAGCAAGTGTTGTAGTGTCCATCCCTAGATGCATCATCCATGCAAGTTTGGTCAAGGTAGGGCTAATAGTTACTTTGGAATGGACCTGCTCCAAATACTTTAACATGGTCACTCTGGAATATCTAGGTCATATCCACCATCCGAAGCAAGTGTTGTAGTGTCCATCCCTAGATGCATCATCCATGCAAGTCCAGGTAGGGCTAATAGTTACTTGGGAATGGACTTGCTCCTAAAACTTTAACTGGGACGCCGACGGTATAGCATAAGCTCATCTCGACTTCGTCGAGGTGAGCTAAAAATGAAATTCTGTGAAAAAAAGTGAAGAATCAGTATGCCATACTTAATGGGCTAAATAGGTACATGTATATACTTTATTAGGAGCACAGATGGAGTTACTCATGACAAACATGTCCAAGCTTCATCAATTAGCTCTGTGTTCCTTATAGCAGATATATCATTTCTAAACCCAAACATAAAATCAATTTCCCCACCCTCAAGTGTGTAACATTATCTAAACATTTTCCAGAATGCAAGCAAACAGAAGCATACTTAAGCTTTGGGATTTAACTACACCATCCACCCGTTTCATCCTTAAATTCTTAAATTATCACCATCTGTAAACTGTACACTTATATAACACTCTAAAAAGCAAACCTGTCAAATATTTACCCTAAAGATGAAAATATGGTTGAAAATAAAACTTCTTTACATATTACATTAACCAGACTACCAGACTGTTTTTATTGTATAAAAAAATGAAGGAAAAAAACCTTCAGTGTGATATTTTAGAAATACTTAACTACATGCATTAAGAACAGCAACAACAATCATTTACAGTTTGTAAGAGAAGTTCATTGGTTTTCCACATTTAAGAGGCTAAATATATAACATGAACATCAAATTTGAATGGCCATTTACAGTGATGACATATGATAGCAAACTGACCCAAGAAAATAAATAACATGCTGTAATAATAAATAATCCATAACAATGTTGATCTTGACCTGACAGCATTTGACACAGAATACTGTGGCAAATGATGAAAGTACTTTTATTGAAGCAATTTACACTGTGACTAAGCCACTAATTCTCTCAGAATCACACACAAGGAGTTTGATATAAGTACACAGCCCCGGGGGGTGATAATAGTATGAAGTGGAGGGGTGAGGCTGACTCTGAACCCTATCACATGTGTCAGGAATGGTGATGATATCAGCCCACGTGATTGCACACCAAGCCGGCATCAGAACGGTCGGTTAATTAAGTGGTCGGAACTGGCTGTCCTGCCCTGCCCTCTTAGATCCCCATACGACCGTCTGCTTTCCTACAGAGAAAAACAAAATAATTTCTTATTAAGTTAATTCTTTTGTTACTGGTGGTGATGGTTGGGAGGGGAGGATTGACTGATACTGTAAACCAACTTTTATTGCATGCAAGAAATATCCACGAGTTTTGCTACCTACTTTAACTTGCGAACATTAATCGCTGCAAACCATTTATTTTGCTTTGTATTTGTAGAGAATGTTCCCTTGTTCGTGAAAATTAATCGTCGCCAATTGATTTTAAACAGACTAATCGCGAATAAAGATGACGCGAATAATAGTTGGTTTACAGTAAGCGATAGAAAGTAAGTCATAACATTTATTCAGTTTGCATTTTTCACTCATATATTCTAATGATCCATCGTTAAATTTTCTAAGAAGTTAAATCTATGGAAATCCTTCCAACGCCTCCCCCATATAGCTACAAAAGATACATTTGTTATGTCCAATCTACAAGTTAAAATAACCAAAAAATTGATGAAGAACTTGCATGGTGAAGAAAAATACAATATATTCAACTAGGTCGTAACCGCTACAAATGAGAACTGACAGAGAAATTATGACTTACACTTTATATGAACAGGGATGATTACTGCCTCAGTTGAGAAATAACTATGTCTTTGAGATTTACTCTTAATTTGATTTGGTTAATTGTTGCTAGAATTAGAACTGCCTTGAATTGGACACTTACACTTAATTTATCTGGTTGGTTACTGCTTGTGTTGAGAACTGACATGGAACTTGCTCTTTTCATACTGTAAACCAAAGATAAAAATTATTGAAGTCTTGGATGGTTAATAAATTCTCTCGTCTTTGGTAAAAGAAAATGAACATCTATGAAGCAAGTAACAAATGTCACCCTCAAAGTAAGAAAGCTGAAATTCAGAAAAATATTAGTACACCTGGAAAACCTCAAACAGAAACATGCTAACATGTAATACATATATATTTATCATCATGTATATAACTCTTCCCGAACATACAAAAAAAACTTAATATTCAATATTTAGATTGTATTAAATTATAATCTATTTCAAAATGTACCAATATCTTACATGCTATTTCCAAATATATATTTTTGATCCCCCTAAATGGCTAAAACAAAATATCCATCACCAAATTCTGGCATTCTCTACCACACTCTTTCGGAATGAAATTTTGTTTTCATGAAAAAAGAGTCAATTACAAAATTAGGGAATTTTAATTTTGGTCTTTATTTATTTGACTTCTAGCAACAACAAAAAAATTAAAAATTCACAATGCCATCAACCCCTTGATCACTCTTTAAAGCAAGTGACAGCCATCTTGTCATTAAGCTGAAAAGTAAGTCTGTTAAAATAAAAGCTATAAGAAACACTTCTAGCTGCTACTTGCTGCTGTGTTGCAGGCAGAAAAAAAGGGTAAAAGAGAGTGTGGCTCAATTTTAAGTAAAAATCTATTAATATTACCTGTGTACCACTTGACATATTGCTAGCAATATCCAGATTGTATTATTTGTTATACAAAACCATTATAGTATTGATAAGAAATGGGGTTAGGACTTTGATATAGAAGCTGAGTGTCTAAAGCAACAGTAGTAGTACAGAGTTATTGTGGCAGGAGATGAAAACACAAACCCAGATCTAGAGTAGGCGGGGCCGCTAGATTCGTCCCAGTAACGGGGAATGGGAGTATCCAGGTAACCTGACCCTGGCAAACTCCAAACGCTGGGCAAGAAACAAAAAACAACGAATCAGAAGCGTCCCATTACCAGCACAAGGCAAGGCTAAGCAATCTGCCATCTTGTATTTTTCAATGGACATTTCATTCAATAACAGAACTTTTTGGCCAGAAAAAAAATAAAAGAGTAAATAATTTTTTTCTGGTGATCACTGAAGAAAATCGTCTCTTACCTGCCCGTTTCTTCGCCTGTGCCCTTTCCTTTTAGTTTCTGCACCAACTTAGCACTGGACCGTCGAATGGAAGCTCGCAGTTTGGTGAAGGACCCACTTCTCTTTAATTTTCCCTTAGTATTTACAAAGGAGGGGTTAAAGCCCAATTAACAAGCCTCAGTTTTCAGAATGTTTCATATAGAGCCGAAAATACTCTTTGTTCCGAATCACTCTTAAGAATTTCAGTTGGATTTTAAATAAAATGGTTTAGTCTGCTTAAAACATGATATGTGCTTCTAAGTTTGATACAAACACCATTAACAGTACTCTATGGTTTAGTTCTTTTTAATTCTACAGTGCTGTTTGTTGGTTAATCTGAAACTGAGGGTTACTTTTTATCCCTTTGCACATGTAAAGCACAGTACAACATAAGAAAGGGTAAACTCCATTCATTGACACCCATCCACCCCTCTCCCACAAAGCAGAATAAATGAAGTAAAATCCATGCAAGGTGATTCTTAATTAGTGATGTTTTAACATTAAATGAATTAAAAGATCCATCTACTATAAAAATGGTCTAGAACCCACAGTTTTCTACATCAATATAAAGCTACACTACAGTCTACATTAGATTTTCCTTTCAAATACCACATACACAACATGCATGCAATGAAAATGTTATAGATAAAATTATCAGTGCAGGATAAGACAAGGCTTGATTTTCTGTGACAGATGTTAGCAGTGCACTATCAATGAATGGATTTTTCTCCCTCTCTCCAAACTGTTCCAATTAATCAAAGCAACAATAATCCCACATTAATTTGCCAAAGATCATACATCCACATGATAAAATATGAAGTCCAAGAGTAATATACTGGGTATGCATGATTTTCATCATTTCACCATTAGTTTTAAGAATGAAAGTATTGTGTTAGGTTTATTATTAATTCTATTATGGTGCATGAGTTATCCAAAACTGAATTTGGGATTCAGAATGGGCAAACCTTGATTATTTGGAACACTTATTGTGACAATGTGCTTTACTCACCCCCATTTAGGGCCCCTCCAGCCCTATATACTTACATCCTCCGTATCACCAATATGTGACACATTTTCCATGGAGTTCCTGAACCCCCGATCTTTACTTCCCGATCTCCGCCGCCCCGGATTGGTGGGGGGTAAGTGGTCTTTAGAATAGTCAGCACCCAAGACCTGGGTCTGTTTGACCACATCCAGGGCCTAGCAGAAAACCAAAATCAGATCAAGCCCCTGACCTACACTGCCTCCTTGATCCTTCTCCTTTTCTTACCATTCACTTGATACTTTCAATTGAATATTTTTTTTATACGAGACTGAACAAAAATTAGTCCAATGCTAAAGCACTGAGCAAAAAAAACCCTGAAGTTATATATTTTGCTGCCTCAGAAAAGTCTCACTTTTTTGGTAACAATGAAGACTGATAATTAAAATGAATAAAAAAAAATCAAATCAGAGATAAAATAAGACTGCAAGAAGCAGCTCAAAAATATGTTAAGTAAAAAAAAAAAAAAAAAAAAAAACGCAAAAAATTGAACAGATGAAAGTCAAGTAAAACACAGTTAATATTGGCCGACTGCATGTTAGCCTTGCCTTGTAAGAGTTTGGGGGTGACAGCATCTACAATTCCCCATACAGGTTTTGCTTAATAGCCCTTTCAGTGCAGAATGCATACAGATTCTGCAGTTATCTATGATATATATGTAAGTATATGCATATAAATATAACAGATTATTCACATGCAGAATTGTTTGGTAAAAATCATCACGACAGAGAATTTTACCACTGTGACAATACCAGTGACTCCAGAACAATCCTTTCTTGTGCAGCAACTATATAAAATGATTACACAAAGAGTGGTAAAAGTAAATGTCAACTCACACTCTTTTTGGATCTCATTGCACATTCCTCTAGCATTTCTGCAGCTTCATACTTCCCCTGCCTCCTGTACAAAGCTCCTAAATTCTTTAAAGTTGTTGTGACTGTTGGACTACGTAATAATAAAGCATATTTTAATACAAGTTTAACTTTATGCACTTATTTTCCCATATCTTCAAGACTGATTAAACAATGTTTGTATTTTTCATTATCTACAATAAACCATTTCTATTTTTCAAATATTTTTTTTTTCTTTCTTATAAAAATTATTTTGTAATTCACACATATTTAAGCTTTCATAAAAACACATACTGGTATTTTGCATTTTCATACATGTGATTCTTCCGGCGGGAGTCAAAATCTCCCGATATTTCAACCCCTTCCGCCACTCCCGATTAATTTTTAAATCTTCTGTGTTTTGAAAATCTTCATATTATTTATTATTTGACTTAATTGTCACCACTTTTCATATAATTACTAGTGTGAAAAGAGAAATTGAGATAACAACGCCAGTGCAATAAATTTTCACAGCAGTGGGCTTCGTATGAATCTACACGAGGTCGTATAATTAGGTTGTAAAAATAACCTATTTAACTCTTGATAAATGGCCAGCGATGTTTATTACTTTATTACTACATGCAGAACATTGTAATTAGTTGCTAAAATTCTCTTTTAATCATTTTTTAATGCTGCAGTGATCACTGAAAAATACTCTTTTCATGTCACATTCTAATTAAAAATAGATCAAACTACAGGGTGTTGCTAAAACTCCTAGCAAAAACATGGCTGACTTTTAGTTTTTTTTAAATTATTATTTTTTAAGAGAGTATTTTTAATTTAAATATCTGTGCATGTTTGACAGGATAACATTTCAATTTAAAAACAAATCCTATGTTTTACTATAATACATGTGCAACAAGTTGATATATCAGTATCAAATCAGGACTAAATTTTAATCATGTTTGTAATGCTGTTATTTCTGAATTTAAATGAGCTTCTTTATTTTGGATATAAATTTCACTTCACTTGATTAAAAACATTGTCATTTTTTTTTTCAGACAAGAATTTTATTACATAATATTTTTAATTTACTGTAATAATTAAACTGTGAGGGGTGAAGTTCTCCAATTTTTCAGAACTTTTTTTTATACTGATAACAGAGATTTTTGAAAATAATTTTTCCTAGATTTAGGGCTTAGGATAGTTTTTTTGCGGCAAGAAAAAATGTCGATAAAAAATCTCCAGTTTTGAGACCCAAACTCCAGCTGAAAAATTTCATATCTCCAGTTGTGAGTGTTCAACTCTGTCACATGTATGCATTTTAACCAATGAACATAAATCTAATCCAGAATAATACATTTCAACCTTGTGATGTTTTTGACAAATAACAATTTTTTTCATTTTAATACCTATTTTTTTCATATATATTATGCATAACACCACTATAACGTGAAGTTTAATAACTGTTACCTGTCAACCTTGGCAGTTTTATGCCAGCCCCCATACTCAGGCAGTGGAGATCCTTCCTTACTTTTACCCTTATAAATACAAAGTACATTTGGTTAACCAAGTAACAGTTTTGTGACAAACACCAGTAAATATGTACATTCATCATACTCAATATCTAATTCATTAAAAGAAGTATATCTTAATTTTATCACCTTGAGATACATTAAGCTTCAAAATAACTTGTGAATAATTTGTCTTACTTTATTTTCTTCTCTTTCTTCAGCTTGCATCCATATAGGTTTATTTTCACCTATAAATGAAACAGAAACTAGATTTTTACCACCCTTATTCACATTCTTTCCCATATTCAGACTAGTATCTATCCTCAATTTAAAGTTCAATATCTTTTTAAATATAAATATTTGGATGCTTTATTTGATGTTATCACTACACATAAAATGTGTCTTGTGTATCAAACAAAGCCCTACCATCTACTTTTCCAAATTCCTTTTCATGAGCTCTAGTGAGGACTTCTTTATATAAAGCTTCTGCCTGTTTATACTTCCCTTGTTTGAGATATGCCGAGGCCTAAAACAATTTAAAAATAATTAATAATTACAATCCACATTTAAACATAAGCAGAATAAAATAATGACTTTGAACAATTATCAAAAAGAGAAAACAAATATATGATTTACTCATATAGCCAATACAGAAACAAGAACATGTTTATTGTTACAATTTCAAAGTGGGCTATTTACTTGAATTGATACATCTTTCATATGTATAGAAAAATAAAGAAAATAAAATGAGAGAGTAGTAATAGACATGCACCAAGCTGATAAAAAAAGAGAAAATTTTACTATAAAAAGCAGCAAGATGGTAACTGATTATACTAAAATAGACAAATGACAAAAGTTATATTTATATAAAACCCAAGTTTTCTCCATGTACTTGTATATGCAGAAAATGGCTGATTACAAGCAAATTTATGTACATGAAAGCTCACTACACCTACCACTTACTTTAGCAAGAAGGTTAATGAATTTAAGCAAGATATTTCCATACAAGGAAAGCTTTATACTTCAAAACAATATGTTAAGGTCACTACCATTTTACAGTGCCACATACATTTATTTATATATGAAATATACACACACATTTACAAGTATGTTTAAAATCATATTTAAGTTTAGTCTACTTCCTATTCTAAGTTGGAGACAAATTCTTACCAGATTATTTTTTGTTTTGGATACATTTGGGTCATCTCTACCTAAACGTATGAGGTATATTTCTAAAGCTCTCTTATAATAATGTTCCACCTGCAAAAAGCAATGGGTAACAACACCAAATCAAAATAAGACATGCAAAAATAAAATTCTTAATAAAAAAAATAAATAAAATAAATTGGGTTTCTGTGGTTTGAACTGCTTTTCCATGGCTTAATTTGAACATTATAAAGATGTGAATTTTTCATTTGCACACAGTATAACATGTTCAGTACATGAAGGGTTTCACAAGTTTCTTTTCAAACAACCAATAGATCATGAGAATTTGCATGAAAAACTCTGAGAAAAATATCCCTTTGGAATGACTGGCAGCTGCAAGAGATAAAAAAAAAGGCACTACAAGGAATACTAAAATATCATGCAAAAGCAAAAATGAAAAAAAGAATTCTCATGATTTCAGTCCCTCAGTTCTAACCACAGATCCAATATAAACACCCTGATTGATGATTCTGAGGACCAGTCTTACCAAGTTGTTCTTAGTTTTAGCAACATTGGGGTCATCTGGTCCCAATTTGGTTTCATAAATTTCAAGAGCTCGCTGATAATATTGTTCAACCTGGACAGCATTTTAAAAATGTGTGAAAAACACTAAATAAATCAAGTTGGTTTACAATGTATTCAAAAGTTTTTAAGAAATTTTGAATTATAGATGTACTTTTACTTGATCAATAGTGTTCATTGTACTTTTACTTGATCAATAGGGATCATCTTTAAACCTGCTTCAAAAGTCATATTTTTATCATTTTCAAAATTCAATTGCATGTCAAAACAAAATCACAAGACAGAAGAAACTTCCTTACCTCTTCATATTTTCCTTGATTTTGACAAAGTAAGGCTAAATTATTTAACTGCTTAGCAACATCTGGATGATCTTTTCCTAAAACCTGAAAATTTTGAAAATGTTAAATTATATACAGGTACAATGTTTATGTATAATGAAACAATACTTCAATTTTCTTATTTAATATTTTGGCATAATTTTGCTATATTCAATATCTTTTTAAACTAATTTACATTTATTCACTTTCTAAAAACATTTCATATTTATTTCAAACCCCAGAACAGTTTACCTTTTCTCTAATTTCTAATGCTCTTTTACATAGAGGTTCTGCTTCTTTATATTTGCCCCTCTTTCCATATAGAACAGCTAAATTATTCAGTGTTGCCGCCACCTACAATGTAGATTGATTCATGAAACAGACTGGATCCATGAGTATAAAACTGATTAATACAAACTGCACCAAGACAAAGCACAGAGTGATTACATTTCTATTATGCAGTCCTGTTGAAACAGTACATGTATTGAGTTTGTAGATGCTTTTTTGTTAGACTTTCAATAATAATGGGTTGATAGCAAAATTTTTCTGAGTAGATTTTATCTATAAGAGTTTTATACTTAGTCTGGTAATTTCATGGCAAATATACCTGCATATTCATTTCAAAAGATTATTTCACCTATAAATACAACACTCTTCTCTTATATATGTAATTCATAGCTTGTAACTGCATAAATGAAATTTCTCTTTTTATTTAAGTGTTCATAGATGCATAGTAAGCTAAAATACTGTATGTGTGCTTAAAAAAAAGCGGTTTTATATTTCAGCGGTTTTGGCATGGACAACGATTCGCTAATTCAAGAATACCGCTAAGAATCATTTGTAAATATAATACATGGCAGGACATGTGTAGCTCTAATTTATGATAATGCCAACAACACCATACCCAGTGGTTGCTCTAAATTTTGAATACGCCAATTTATGTACATGTACAGTAAGTCTTCTACACTTTCATTACAAAAACCAAAATTAACTTTTAACACTTTTGAAACATTTTTGATTAAAATGAAAAAAAAAAACAACATAACAACAATTAGCACTTTATATCAGGATTTAAAAAAATAAATTTCATGCAGTCCTTAGGAAACCTCACTAAAAATAAAGATATGACCATCCTGTAATGGTCATCATGCAAACTGATGTAAATTATGGCACCTCCAGCTATGTCTTAAAAACATAGTAGTCATTCCAGAAGTACACTATAGTCTAACAATTCTTCACGATGAAAAGAATTACACATATAGCTGTGGAATTGACCTCGTTTTCAAACCTCTTTAGTAATTAAGGGAAAGAGGAGAGGTGTCTTCGCATTTACAAATTTTAAACTATTCAGTTATAGCTTCCATTGGCATGATGTTTGTAAAATCAGACAAGAGCTGCGACCGGCTGCATGTAGCTAAAAATTCTCACTTACTAAACACTTACTCTTTGATTATACAGAAGAAATATGTTTCTTCTACAATAAGTAAATACCCAGATAGGAGCCCAACAATTAATAAAAGATTTGTTTGTAATGAACTGAAATATACTGGTATCATATCTAATTTCAACTAGTGCCAAATCATTATTTTAATAACAACCAAAGATTTACTGTTAACAAAAATAAAATTACACCATGCAAACTTCAACTATTAGAAGGCCAAATTCCAAATAAAGATACAATATGTGACTGAATAAAACAACACCGATTATGAACCAACTTCATGCATGATTAAACTCACAGCCGGATGATCGAGACCGAGTGTTTTCTCTCTGATGCCCAGGGCATCATTCAGTAAATTGGCAGCCTCCTTATATTTGCCTTGATCTCTGAAATGGCATTACTTTTCATTAAACCTTTAAGACAAATACTTCAAAATACTTTGTGAAGAAAAACCTCCCAAGAGCTTACTCCTTGGGAAGTTCCTTCACATTATCAAGCATTAACTGTTGTGACAAATGACAGAATTCCAATTCCTGAACAAACCATTCAAGTATTATACCGAAAGTGCATCAAGGTGTTCATATGCCATTGACTATATTCATACTGATTTTATGAATTTTGATTCTGCTATGAATTTTCCAGTGGTTGTTGTGTAGAACTGGTTATTCTGTCATGTGTAACAGCAGTCAAGCTTTGTCAGACACTCACTGCTGGATGATCAGAACCCAGTGTTTTTTCTCTAATTTTTAAAGCATCTTGTAGTAGATTACCAGCCTCTTTAAATTTGCCTTGGTCTCTGTAAAAGAACTTTGCACTTAACCTCTTCACAGTGTTTTCTCATCACAATTTAGGATGTATATCATTAAAATCTTCTTTCAAATGAAGTTTTTAAATAAAAGATTGGAGTATTGCTGCTTGCATATCATGCAAAAAAAAAAAAAAAAACATGCAACATCCCAATTCAACTATAATAGAATAGGTTTATACAAGCATTTACTGTATAATCAATTCATAAATGACATTTTTAACTTCTAATAAATGTTCATTGTATTAAAGTTGTGATTTAATCCATGCTAATATAAATCATCTACAAAAAAGAACAAATGCAACAAGGACATATGTCCAGTATCTAGAATGGGTCAAACTTCGTCAATAAAGTTGATGTTCAGAGGTCCAAAGGTATATGGGGCTTACCTATATACAAGAGCTAGAATGTTAAGCATGGTAGCTACATCAGGATGGTCATGGCCACTGGTCTTCTCTAAGTCCTCTAAGGCTTGCTTACAAAGCGGGACAGCCACTTCATAGCGGCCTTGAGAGGCATACTGGATGACTAGATTATGAAGAGTGCGTAGTCGCGCAGGAATCTCGTACCCTCCACTAGCAGCCTGGGCCATGGCACTGGGTTGTGAGGGAGAAAGGACTGTAAAAAAAATACAAAAAATAAATATGCAAGAAGATATCTGAAAGTATTTATTATAAAACTTACCCCTGGAAAACCTTTTTTATGATTTTTGTTTAATGATTTTTTTTTATTGAATACCTGTTGGGATAATTACATGGGTTTGAAGGGATGTAAGGGTACCTGGTTGCAGTATGTGGTCTATAACTAACCTAATGACATGTGAATACTCACCATTGATTCAAATTTGATGTACATAAAAGTATAGCTGATATAAAATTAACATAGCAGTGTCTAGGAAACAAATGAATTGAGGCAGCTGGTGTTCTTATGTAGAAGTTCAATCAAAAGATATTTATCAAGTACTATTAACCAAAAAAAAAAAAAAAAATGTTCTCTTAAAGACAAACATTTCAAAAAATCCTCACTTTTCCAATAGTGCCTATTTCACATCAAGTTTATTCAATAGCTATTTTGATCTGGTTTCAGAGGCTGTATTATGTTGGGATGATTGCGCAGAACATTGAGAGTGCATAAGTAGATTGTTTCTATCTCACCTTCCCCTGCCATATACATATCTGGGTCATTGGCAACTCTGTACCTCTCAACGATCTTGTCAAGATCAGACTCACGAGAGATTTTCATATCTACATGAAAGGTCATTCATTCTCTTTAAATCAATTATGATTATGACAATGTGTGAACTGAGTTCAAAATTAACTTCAACTGTATCACAATGATGTGTGAAATGCTGCTACAGGACCAAAAAAGGGAGCTTTGCCGTCATTAGTCTCACCTTCTTGTTGTGGAGGTTCATCATCATCGTCTGGAAAGCCGAGGTCCAAGGACTGTGTTGATTGGTCAGATTCTTTCTCTCCTTCTGAGGTCTGAAAACACAGATAAAGATTGTATCTGTTCCAATACTCCCTGTTCACATTAAAGAAAACTGAGAATGTAGCTTGCTTCAAGCTAAATTTTGTTGCCATTTCATATTTTGCAATGAATGCTGATAACTAATTTTGTCCTTAAATATTTACACACTTGATAAGTTGTTAACTAATTTGAAAAAAAAAAAAGGAATCTGCATTGAGGAAAAACCTCATAGGTTGACCTATGATTAACCTTACATACAAATATAATAACTGTATAAAGTGGTGAATCATGCTTATAACAAAAATCAATGTTTTCTTTACTGCTACACACACCTGTGATTGTTGATTGGGATCTGATGAATCATATTTTCTCATCTCATTCATAAAAGTGAGATGTTTTTGTTCCTCTTCTAGCGTGGCCACTCTTTGTTCACTTCCTTGCAGTTTCTGCTGTGTGTTGGCCAGTTCGTCCCTAAGCCAGGCATTTTCTTGACACAGACGTCTCACTTGTGCTCGTAATTTTTGTTTTTCTGCCTCAACATGCTGAAGATGATTTGCTAATGCCATCATTACCTAAAAGAAAGGGGACTTCAAAGATATAATGTGACAACTTGCATTCAAACATGAAATTCATACAAATACATCAACATTACAGATTTCAATATCTCATTTTTTTTACTCAGAAAACAAAAGAAAATTAAATACAGGGGTAAGAATTAAATATTAAACTTGACCACAATGTACCTGCTAAAACTTAATCCACTTTAAAATTTCACAACTGTTTTTCTTTTGTAATAACTGCATGTTCTTATCTTTATGTTGTATTGCAGCACCTTCATAGGTGTACTACTTATCATATCTGATTAAAAATAAGACTCTGTGATTCTTTCTAATGCCACTGAAATGTCATGACCCTGTCTTGTCTACAAGTTCATTCTACAGTTATAAACATCAATCGAATGCTAGATCCAGACTGCAGCGTACATCAAAGGAGATGCATATATACCATAAAACAATGTAACTGCAAGGTGAATTCTTTTCATGTCTGAATCTTTTATCAATGGTTACATTTATATAATAGATACTGTGGGGGAAAGAAATGCTCAAATGTCAAATTAGATTATCTCATACAGATAGAAATGCAAAATGAATATTAATTTTTAAGAATATGAAATTTTCTTGCGAGATATTGATTTCACATCTGTATTATTATTGACTAAAATTTTTGAGCAGTACTGCACTTACAGACCAAAACAAGACAATGCCAGGCAGCCATTGCACATAATAACTTACAGAATGTCAATATGGCGTTATTCATTAAGTAGTGTTTGATCTGCTGAAAATCAAACAGATTTCCAGAATACAGAAAGATTGGATAGGACAAGACCTTCAAAGAGATCCAACCCTTAATTGCAGAAATCATCTACCCCATACCCTCATCAATATTATCGCTAACATTTCAGTCAGGCAGTCCATTCACCTTTACAAGCAACTAGGACATAAAGGAAATTAATTGAAAACTTCTGAAAACCATGCTGGTAGGGCATGTAAAGATTTCACAACAAATATATTGACATTTATTTTATTCTATGTAATTTCTAACCATCAGGCCCTGTTGGTGGTTCATATGGAGATAAACTATATTCTAATATTGATCCATTTTTCCTGGAACTTGCTACCATAATGAGATCTAGATGTTGATGAACCAGAGTAGCTAACAAATCATTACATTTCTACTGAATTCCACATTTTCTGTATTCACACATTTCCCCTTTACCTGTGCTTCACTGAGGCCTAGTTCTATGGTCTCCAATGACTTTTTGAGGCGATTAGTCTTCTCCTCCATCAGGTTAGTATCTTCATTTTCTTTTTTGATAGTTTTCATGGAGGAGAGCAGTCCATTAAGAATTTGGTGATGTTCATTTTTCAGTGTGTCCAGGCCTTGCATTATTGTCTTTGTACCACTTATTATCTCCTCCTGTGATAGAGACGTCATCTTCCCAATCTCCTCTATCTTCTTACTGCAACGAAACAACAAACACTTATACTTAAACCCTGCAACAAAACAATAAACAATTACACTTAAATCCTCCTCTTTCTTCTTACTGCAACGAAAACAACAAACACTTATACTTAAACCCTGCAACAAAACAACAAACACTTGTACTTAAACCCTGCAACAAAACAACAAATAATTACACTTAAATCCTCCTCTATCTTCTTACTGCAACGAAAACAACAAACACTTATACTTAAACCCTGCAACAAAACAACAAACACTTATACTTAAACCCTGCAACAAAACAACAAACACTTGTACTTAAACCCTGCAACAAAACAACAAATAATTACACTTAAATCCTCCTCTATCTTCTTACTGCAACGAAAACAACAAACACTTATACTTAAACCCTGCAACAAAACAACAAACACTTATACTTAAACCCTGCAACAAAACAACAAACACTTATACTTAAACCCTGCAACAAAACAATAAACAATTATACTTAAATCCTCCTCTATCTTCTTACTGCAATGAAAACAACATTTATACTTAAACCATCTTCTGTCTTCTTACTACAACGAAAACAACAAACATTTATACTTAAACCCTTCTTCATCTTCTTACTGCAACGAAAACAACATTTATACTTAAACCCTTTTCCATCTTCTTACTGCAACGAAAACAACAAACATTTATACTTAAACCCTTCTCCATCTTCTTACTGAAACAAAAACAACAAACATTTATACTTAAACCCTTCTCTATCTTCTTACTGCAACGAAAACAACAAACATTTATACTTAAACCCTTCTTCAAATTCTTACTGCAACAAAAACAACAAACACTTATATTTTAACCATCTTCTATCTTCTAACTGCAACAAAAAAAACAAACACTTATACTTAAACCCTTCTCCATCTTCTTACAGCAACAAAGCAACAAAGGCTTATATTCATACCCTCCTCTATCTTCTTGCTGCAACAAACACTTATATTTACCGGTAAACCCTTCTCCATCTTCTTACTGCAACAAAAACAACAAACACTTATATTTAAACCCTTCTCCATCTTCTTACTGCAACAAAAACAACAAACACTTATATTTAAACCCTTCTCCATCTTCTTACTGCAACAAAAGCAACAAACACTCCTAATTAAACCCTCTTCTACCTTCTAATTGCAATGAAAACAACAAACACTTATACTTTCACCTTCACAAAATTTATATATATTCACAAGATTATCAGTGAGGTTAATTTCTGTCGGCTTTTTCATTCATTGATATTGTGCAAAGCATATCATTGCACAATAATTAATGCTTCTTTGCTCTCTTTTTCATGCAAAAGAAAACATTTTCTTTGATGCAAAAACAATGATAACCTTTTTTTTCAAATAAATCTGATGGTTGGCATAGCTTTCATCATATTCAACCTACTACATGCACTGCCATACCAAGTCTATCAATCTAAAACCTTGGACTAGTACATTCATTTCATCTGATGGTTTACAGATAACCAGGCCAAATGACAAATACAATGGAAAGAAACCCATAATTAGAGAATTAAAGATTGTGAAGAAGGCTGCATCGCGACCACATTTCAAATAAATCAATACAGTTGTTAAATTTCTGAATCTATTCAGGTTGTGTCCAGGTTTCCAGTGTACTGATAAAAATACACAATCCTTTTGTCACACAGGATATACTGATATATGATAAAAAGGTATTATGACATAAAGTCACAACATTAAGAAAATATCAGTAGCCCTTTTCACAAAAAATCTTAAGTTTTTGCGTAAGATTTTAACTTAAGAATCTCTTACGACAAATCTTAAGTGCTTTTCACGAACGCATTCGTAGCAGATTGAACTTAAGATTTTACTTACGACAGACTTCATCCCTAGCAACGACTTCAATATGCTTTATAATCCTTAAATAAGTGGGTGAAAATAAAAATAAAACTTAGTTTTCAACATTTGTGAGCAAAACAAACATTATTGAATACAAATATCGAATGCAATCGTTTGTGAAGCAAGGAAGTTTAAAATCTGACGTCACAATCGCAAGTCTGACGTAAAAGTAGGTCATACGAAAATCTTAAGTGAAACTTACATCGTAAATATTTTGTAGTGTATTTCATTTAATTTTTCGACAATGATTGTGAAAAAAATATAAAATATTATTGGAAGTTGCTTTAAAAAGTTTTATGTAACGTGTATTTTGTTTTTTGCGGTTATATTTTTACAATAAAATCGATTTTAAAATACTTAAGAGAGGGTTGGGGCTCTCGTAAAGTTACGACAGATTTTGCACTTACGACTTTCTTAAGAATTTTTGTGAAAACGATTTTCATCATATGTTTTCACTTAAGATAAAAATATGTCGTAAGATTTTTTGTGAAAAGGTCCACAGAACATTACAGTTCTACTCCATTATTATCTTTAAAAAAACAAACAAACAGGAAATTGATTATGAAGAATATCAGTGCATAAGTTTAAGCATAAACTTAAGAAAACAACACTACATGCAGAAATACATCAGGCTACCTATAATTCTTACAGTGCCCTAAAAATTTCTTTGCATGTAATGTAATAATGTAAAGTAATTCACATAAAATTTCTTCCCACTCCCATTAAATGTCATGTTCTTGTCATTTTAATTCCAGATTCTTTTATGCTAAGAAAAACAAAAGAACAGAGGAAAATAGGCCAAAATAGCAATACATTCCAGCTAGCCTCATTAAATGGAATAGATATTGATTGTTACCGTTGAAATGGTAATATAAATTTGCCATCTTGTCATCATTCATCTCAGTGTACTTTGGGGGTATTTCCAGTATAACCATGCACATGAGAACATCAATTTATACAATTACACTTTTTCCTCACATTAATTTCTATGACATATAAATTATAAAATATAGACATTCTGGGTGATTCCACATCCTCTTGTGAGTTCTAGACAATTATAACAATCATAAATGAAGTGAATTTTGTTAAAGAATCAGTTTCTGTTATATAAAACTATTCCCAAATGTGTTCCAAAAACTTAATAATGTACATGTAAATATATATGTTACCATGTATTCCAATTTTTTTTTTTACCCCTCTCCCCTTTTTGGCAAGTTTTGAAATATAGTGAGTCTATATGATTGAATGTAAAAAAGACTACAGATTTGCCTTATGAAAAAAGACAAAACACTATAAAGAACATTGGGGATAGGGATTGATTTCAAAAAACTTGCAAAAATGAGATACAAAAGGAAGGAAAATGTAGAATTTAAAGCACACAAGTATCAAAGTAATAAATAAATATGTGCCTACCCTCCTCCCCCCCCCCCCCCCCAAATCAAGATTCATTACACTGGTATTTCACACTAATATTCAAAATACAGTTGAACTTTGGTATATCTCAAACACTGATATCTCGAATACCATGGATATGTCGAAGTCATTTTGAAGTCCCAACTTCTTATTCCTTAAATATTTTACTCTGGATATCTTGAATCCTCGGTTATCTCGAAGTATTTTCTTGGTCCCTTTGAGTATGAGATAATGAGTTGACTGTACTTTAACAATTTGGCACAATTTCCATTGAAAAAGAAAAGAAAGAGGTACAAAACATGCATGTAATACAGACCAGTTGACTTCATCTTAAACAACGTTATCTCAAATACCACAGGTTCCTTGAAGTCAGTTGGAAGTCCCAACCATTTTTTATTTTTGTTTTTTAACCTCAGTATCTCAAATACACCGACATTTTCTTGGTCCGATTGAGTTCAAGACAACAAGTTTGACTCTTCTATCATTATAAAGTAATTTGAAAGTACATGTTAAAAACATTGATCAGACCCAGAATTCAGGAAATTTGATCTAGAAGAGGATGGATGAGGAGGATCCAATGTGTGACTCATTCAAATTTTACTGCTTTAACTTTTACAATATCAATTAAAATCCCAGAAAATCTCTCTCAAATACACCAAAAATATACCATACCCCATTGCATATACACAAATTTATTTAATTCTGAGTCTGCTATATTGTCCCAGCATCCGATGACATCATCCCAACCATAATATATGCTAGAAAAGTCTACTCACTACTCAGCTCATTTAAAACCAATGAATCCCCAAAAATAGACCTGACCCCCACTTACATTCTATAGGCCTTCACAGTGTCTGTCTCCATTTTGTAAGGCAAATCTAAAATCCCAGACACTTGTTGTTTCTCGGACAAAAATCCTCCATGATACAAATCCTCCACAAAACTAGTCAAGTCCATTATTTAAAGGGGTCTAAGGCTAATGACTTTTACTTCAACAAGTGTTTATCCTAGAAGCATATCCTTCATTCCTCTATCAAACCTCACAGCACCAATCTGGACTGCAAGGTCTAAATTAACAATCACACAACAAGCCTGGAATAGCCAAAAAACAAAAGCAATCTGGCCAGACACAACCCTTTCATTATTCAATATGGATTAATCCTGTACTATATATGATCAATATAGGCATTTCATTGGCTTTTTCTCCTCAGCATGTTGAAATGAGCTATTGATTTTTGCAGCTATTGATCCGAGACTGGGCCTGATGCATGCTTGCATTGAAGTCACCCTTCTTCATAATTTATGAACATCTCCAAAAAGAAAAATAACTGTGTTTTTACTGTACTTACTATGGCATGTTTCTTGTGAACAATACTGCTGGAATATATTACATACATAATTATATATATTGCTGCAATATTTATTACCTTCTAAATGCCACTATAAGAAGCAGGTTCATTTTACCAGTAATTTTCAACCATAAATTACCTTTAGTTTGTATTGAGTTATCAATAGTCCTAAGGAAAACTCCTGTTTTTGGAAAAAGTCATTTGTTTGCACTCTAAATAAGTAGACAATTGTTGACATTCATAGCCAGTATTTATGGAAGAAATATGATGGAAGGGGGGAAATGGTACCAAGAGAAATACCATTAAATGCTCCTCAAAGCCATTTAAATGTTGACATTATATATAAAATGTATCTATAATTATCTCAAAATGACTATTTACAATGAATAATCAACAAAAACTGTTCTCCATAAATGTTATTGATAAAGCAGTCTAAAATTGGCAAAAATCTTAAAAATGTTGTAAATATAATAAATTGGTTAATGGCTGGTTGTTAGGGAAAGGGTGGGGAGAAAATTCATTATAAACATATAATCTACACTAAGACTTGAAGCATGTTAGAAGGGGAAAAATCTAACTGCTAGTATCAGCCAGGTTTGGAAACGTCAACGAGTGAACCTTCAGTTTTTTATTTTCCCCAGCGAACTATGGATTGGCCCAAAATACAATTCATGGTTTGGGGCCAATTATCAGATAAAAATAAATAATGTGGATAATACAGATTTTTTTAACCTCCACATTATTTTCAAAATTTTCAAAAATAATTTAAGTAAAAATAACTTTTAAATTTAATAATCATGTTAATACAGTCAGACGTCATAGCGACCACCTGTATATAGGGACCTCCATTGATTTGAAATCATTTAATTTCCTAATGAGAATTTTTCATTATATTTTACCTGTATTCAGACACTCCCTGTCTTATTTACCATCATTTACCATCCTAAAGCAGTTAAAGACCCTGAATTAGCAACTTTTTTTTCCCAATAACAAAGATGATATATTGCTTAGTTTTTGCCCCCCCCCCCCCCATTTGCAATTTGCAGAAAGAATACTCATTAATGGGATATTTTACAGTGTTTTATTTGGTATAAAATAGAAATGAATTAAATAAATAAAAAAAAAATTATCCATGGTAGTCGAGATATACGTTCAAGAGACCGAAGTTCAATTGTATGTGTGCATGTATATATCAGTGGTTGCAATGAGTCCTTAACAAAAATACATCATTCATCATACAACCATTCTTCAGTCTTGTAAATATACTTTTCATCGATTTAACTCTCTTCCACAATAAAATCGGTAAACTTCCAATATAATCAAGAATAAATTTAATTACCAATCAATTGGTGTATCTACAAGTAACTAGTGACTTGCATTTATAAACATCTAGTTAACAGGCCCATTTAACACTGGGATATGTGATTCACACACACACACACACAGACACATGTTAATGATAGCTTGGTGTCATCATCACTGATAGACTTTGAGGGATCAAAAGTAAAATATGCAGGATTTTAGATTTAAAACAAGACTAAAAAATACTTCTTGACTTTCAAGAGAAAAACTGCAGGTTTTACTACAAGAAAAAAAAAAGGACTGGGATCGTAGGACCTGATTTTTAGAGATCATGATCTTCAAGGATTGAAGTTGAAGCCTTGAGGAGTCACAATTTTTTTTTATCTCCCTCAGGATATAACAGACATGCTCAATTATTTTAAGAACTATGCACGCTAACTCTCGATTCCCACCTACATTTTATACCCATCTGATTCAGTATAAATGGCATTTTGGCCATTAAAACTTTTTTGAATGCAAAGAATAGTTCATTACTAATTGATTAATAATTCTAAAACCAACATAAAAAAGTTAATTCCCTTTTTTTACAACTCTTTTCATAAGGGGGTAGAAAATTTTATGCATTGTAATCAGGCTTTAAAACATCACCAAAATTTCACCAAAATTTCAAATATGCATGGAAATGGATAAATGACCCTTAAATCTTTCCATTTGTTAAAATTATGTAAAATTCAAAGTAATAAGATTGATAAAGTACATTTTTTAACTTGCTATCTCATGAGAAATTGATCATAAAATGACCCCCCCCCCCCACTCCCCATGAAACACAAAAAGCTTTGGTATGAATTTGTGAAACAACAATCCACATTACCTGTTAAAAGAAATTTTTGTTTCAGTGGGGGGAAGATGTTTTAAAAATATTTTCCGTTGATTTCAATAATGAAAGAACACAAGTTTTACCAAGTTAAAGAGTTATCTCTCTTTGTTTTCCCAAACAAGTAATGTTTAATGAATATTCATACAAATATCTATATAAATACACATGTATAAAAAATCATTCAAATGTGTTTCGAAAATTGACTTGGAGGTAGGCAGGAGAACAATACTATCGTTTGCAGTTCTTGACTTCACCTGGGAAGATGTTTTAAAAATATTTTCCGTTGATTTCAAAAGTGAAAAAACACAAGTTTTACCAAAATTATAGAGTTATCTCTCTTTGTTTTCCCAAATAAGTAATGTTTTATGAAAATTCATATAAATATCTATATAAATATCAAAGGCCTGAAGGCCTGTGAAGTGCATTGCATTGAAAATAGAAAACTCCAAAAAAAAAAAAGATTTCTCAGAAAAATTCAACTTACATGTTGAGGGAAAATCAGGAATAAAAATAAAAATTTAAATATCCTTTCTTTGAGGCTAAAAAATGTTTTGAGTCTTGGCATTTTTAGCCAGTCGGTCGGGAGAGGTCAAACAAACATTTTTTTAAAGATATCAATTATAATTCATTGATAATAAATTAATTCATAATTGATTTTAATTATATTTTTATTTTTTATTCTTTCATTATTATCATAGTAGGAAGATGAAAATAATGATTGAGAATTTAGAAAGGAATGATAATTGAATTATTCTATATAATATCATATCAGATTTTTTTTAGTTTCTTCATTATGTGCACTTTTTTTTTAATATCAATACTTTGCCTTAGACTAGTTTTCTCAATCAAAAAGGCATAATACGTAAAGCATAGTGGGATACATGAAATGTTCGCATAAATAATACGGGACTAAAAAAAATTTTTTAAAAAAAACAACAATCGGGCATGGTATACTGTATACTATGAAAACTGTCAATGGCGGCCGATTTCCTCCAATATTTTCGATAAAATTGGCTCTATAAAACCTTGGCGGTAAGGATTGAACTCAAAACGTCTATGTTATAAGGTATTGGTAATCCTATTAATTGAAATCCACAGCCATTGCATGTTTTTATCAGTCATTTAATCATATTCAACCGACATTTCACCAAAAAACCGATCATTTCACCATTTCATGTTACCCTCGTGGAATTTTTTTCCAGAAAGACGGCGCTTGCTGCAAACATTTATTCAGTTGGATATCTTACTATTCGTTTCATCGAAGTGAAAAATAATAATATCCCTTCTATTTCTATAAAAAAAACCCAACCATCTTGTTCCTATTGTTAGTGATGTTTATAAAATAAAATTATTGTATATTTTTCTCAGGTATTCCTACAAGCAATGTCGTCTTACAAGGCCTAATAATTTATAGTACGAGCTGTTGTGATGCAAACAGATCTTACTCCGCGAAGCACACGTTTGTTTCTTGTTGTTTTTTCTCTCTCTCTCTTTTTTTGTTTGTTTCATTTTTGTTTTCTTTCTTGCTTTCAATGTATAAACAACACATACCTTGGTATATGTGAGAGTTTATGTTAGTTGATATTTAAAAATAGACAATGAATATCATCAACTCGTCAATATACATTTGCACTATTTTCAATAGCGTATTTAGAATCAATATTGCGGAGTCCTTTGTCGCCGCAGTAATCGAAAGAAAGAATTGGGGGTCATCAGCAATGAGGCTACATCGCTGATAGCGATGCGCCTCAATTAAAAATCATTCAATTGTGTTTTGAAAATTGACTTGGAGGTAGGCGGGAATACAATACAGTTGTTTGCAGTTCTTGACTTCACCTCATCCACTTCACCTATACTTAGTTCTGTGTGGTTTTTAATTGCTAAAATTTTGAATCTAAAATTTACAGACGATTGAACCCTCTGATGAAGAAAACCAGGAATACACTGACAAAATGTCAGAGATAGGCTAAGAGCCTCGGATGCATGAATCTCTGACATGGAAATTATATAACTATAATGATTTTTAAAACTGTGATAAAATGGTACTTCACTGAAAACTTTAAATCCATGAAATGGAAATGATTTCAATTGAATTCAATGAAGACATTACTTTTCAATTAAATATATACCTCTTAAGGACTTCACAGATATCCATACCACTTAATGGTCTATAGTGAAATGTAACATGTTTGTCACATTCTAACAATAATGAGAAATTCAATACAAATCATGTATATGCATTTACATTCCAAACATATGTGAACACAACATCTGTGATGTGAAGTATATATGGTATTCTACTACGGTTATTGCCGAGATCAAAGAAATGCCGCGGACATTATTCTCCAATAAATCACGAACGTCATCAAAAAATTATCAGATCAGAAACACATGTCAAATCTGTACAGTTGAAATAAATATTTCACTGTATAATCTAATACTTATTTAGACCACATCGATGTGTCGTCTTCCGCAGTCTAAACGTGTGTATTGCCTGAAACAGCTGATAAATATCCATTTTTATAGCCAAATGGGGCTGTTCTACGGACCTCCCCACAACATTTACACTCCCGTGATTTTACTGATAAATCAATGAAAAAGACAACTGATTTTGTTATTTTTCATTCATAAAAATTAATCAATCTATGTTACAAGCAAATTTATAAATAATTAAAGGATATTTTTAATCCAACAAAAGTTAAAATCGTCTGCATTTTATGCAATCGATTGACCCTCTGGTGTTAAATGGAACAGCGGAATTGCGACATGGTGACCTAATTCGTTTCTCTTTAGAGAAAACGATCAACTGTATTTTAGAGCCGTTAGTAGAATAGAAATAAAGTCCTTGTTGTTGTGAATGATGCAGGATAACCTCCTCGGTCTCGAAATGTTGTCTGAAATATAAAAGCCTCGGCTAACGCCTCGGCTTTTATATTTCAGACAACATTTCTCGACCTCGGAGGTTATCCTGCAACATTCACGATAACGTGGACTTTATTTCTTAATTAGATTAACTGTTAGTAGAAAAGAAAACAGTCAATACCGTTCGTCTTCGTCCATGACTTGTGCACTTCTTGTCTCTTCTTCTCTTGGTTAACTATCAGTAACACATTCCCTAAAATGTTAATAAGCAAGCATAAGGCATTCAAAGTAAAAACAAAGGAAGTTAGTGCTACTGGCAGGATACACAATGCAAATTTGAAGAATTATTCAATGTCACTGATTACGGTTGATTCTCAGAACTATGTGTCTTTAGGATGCCTAAAGTATATTGAAACAAACATGAGAAAAAAAATTTCTTGGATAGATTTCATATTGTTTGGTAATTTGTGTTAGTAATAAAATTTCATTCATGTTGCAAAATTAAAATAACCATGTTTACTTTTGGAGCTACTGGAACTCTCAGTAGCCATGCAAAATGAATGAATCAATAAAGCCACTTCAGTCAGATGCATACAATGTATACATGTACATGTCATTCAAGATTATTTCATGCTTTCATGAAAACAATGAGAATTATGCATAAAAGTAAATCAAGCTCTTTAAATTTTTGCAGTAAAATGATATGAGAAAACCTGTTCTTCCTTTAATTAATACACAATCTCTTATTATTAAATTTAAAAAGTATAGGTAACAGAAAATACATATATTACCAATTATTATATATATCAACTTATTTATCTTGAATCTTACATAGAAAAAAAAAAAAGACTCTGCTAGATATGAAACATAAAACTGATTCAAACACAACTGACAGTTGTATAATAGTAATTCATAACTGGGGAGGTAAACGCCCTTCTATATTGTTTCCAAGATTATAATTTCATTCACTTCTGAATACTGTGATCAGGCAAAATAACTTCTGGAAATCATTCTTATAATTGTATATTCTTATGATGTTGTTCATTTAGGAATAAAGGGTTTTAATGTTTTCATTAAACTCAATTGTTTTTATTCTGCATTATTCATTCAAGTAATTTAAAATTAACAATAGTATATACAGTAACGCTTTCTTTTTGTCAATTAATACTAACCATTAAGATTAGATGTGTATATTGAAAATAACCTTAAGTGCTGTCATATATATGTTTGCCTACTGTGATGAAAAAGAGGGAGACTTAGGACCTCAAAAGCGGTAGCATTGCACAAGGTGTTTTAAACTGCGATTTTGAGAAGATATATAATAAATATGGCCTCAAATGACCACTGCAGTAATTTAAATCAAATATCAACTGCAGTGAAGAAGACAACTAGAAATATGTCCATAGGACATGAATGCCCCACCGAGGGTATATTAGTAATGCAACATTTTAACACAAATTGAGAAAAGTGAGGTCAAGGTCAAAGGAAAGGTCAAGGTGAAAAAATATTGATGCAGTTGAATAGCTCTCATCAGTATTTATCAGCATATGAAGACTGACACTAATTTAAGAAAAGTGAGGTCAAGGTCAAAGGAAAGGTCAAGGTCAAAAAATGTTGATGCAGTTGAATAGCTCTTATCAGTATGTATCAGCATATGAAGTTTGTTAAAAATATCTTGAATGGTTTCAATAAAACTGAGCTAAACACTAATTCAAGAAAAGTGAGGTCAAGGTCAAAAGAAAGGTCAAGGTCAAAAAATGTTCATGCAGTTGAATAGCTTACATCAGTATGTATCAACATATGAAGTTTGATTACACTATCTTGAATGGTATCTTTAAAACTGAGCTAAACACTAAGAAAGGTTAAGAAGTTAAGAAAAGTGAGGTCAAGGTCAAAGAAAAGGTCAAGGTCAAAAAATGTTGATGCAATTGCATAGCTCTCGTCAATATCTATCAGCATATGAAGTTTGATAAAAATTTCTTGGATAGTTTCTTTGAAACTGAGCTTTGAACAGAGCTACACGCAAAGTGTGACAGAAGGACAGATGGAAGGACGGAAGACGGACATGACAAACACTATATGCCCCGGCCATATTCATGGCGGGGCATAAAAACAATATTTACATAAATCATGTAAATAAATAACTTTCATTCTCATCACAAAAGCTTTGAGTGGCAACTTCAGCCTATTGAAGAGTCATATGATCTTTGTTGATGTAGCCTGAAAGCCAAAATTGTCAATGTTCATTTAGTTGCCAAAAAAGAGCAATGATGTCATAATACAAACTCCAATCTAAACAAAGATTTAGATTTCCTGCAATGACCGAAAACGAAAGTAGAGATGTAATAGAAGTATTAAATGAATGCTGATTTCCTTTCTTAATTTTATGAACAAAGTCGAAATTTTTATCCAGGTTCTAGAATACTACCTCTCCCTTTTCTCCTTTATGTCAATGAAATTTATTGTAACGAATGTAATCACTGACATGTATGCACTTGTCATTGTCAAACACATGCTTGAAATCAGTGTAAACAAGATGCAAGAAAAAAGTGTTTGTATGCTCCCAGTTCAAATCATGGGATATCTTGAAAACAAGATTTTCTGACCAAATGTTCTCAAAAATGACTACCAAGTGAACCAAAAATAAAAAAAAACAACAGATTTTTGAATGAAAGCGGTAGGAGTAAAAAACAAGTGGAAGACTTCCACCTAAAGCGGTTGAGTTAACATGTATGTGCTGTTGTAAATATTACAATAAAAATCTCCTATGCTGCTTGTGCTTTCTGATAAACCTTTAGATGACTTTGGATGACAACACTTTGGACCTTGCACTAGTTGCAGTGAATCCAGCTGCAGAAAATCACACCTGAAATTAGTAACTAGCAGAATTGACTTTTCTCCCTGAATTTCATTGAATAAAATGTAAATCTGAAATCTTTTCTCTGCAAAGTCTGTAAATTGGATCTGTCATCATGGTCAGTTTCTTATCTATAGGCTTTTTTTTATTCAATTGGACATCAGTTCAATTTCACACACTATACCAGTCTACCAGTCCAAGTACCAGGAAATACCATAAATTTAAAATACTCAAGGGTTTGTCTGAGTATAATTATATTCATCAACATGACTACGATTTAACACATTGAAACTAAATTGTACAGTATCAGAAATACATCATGAACATGAGCTCCTGTTCCAAAAACTACACTTTGATGACGTGAAATCTCATAACTAAATACTCTGTATGTATTCATGAAACTAAAATTCATTCAATACACATAAGCACAAAAACCTCAGTACCTGTGAATTTCTTGGTACACAGTCAGTTGACCGAGTTGACGTGTTCACTCCTCAGAGTTGAAATATGCTGTTGACAGACACATTCTCTCTGCTAAAATGTGATTTTGACGAAGTTACGCGTGAAAAGATGTATATTACTGGTTTGATAGATTGTGTGAATATGTGTGATTTGAAAGAGGATGGAAATGTGAACAGCTGGCTGTCATTTAAACTTCTTTTCACACCTCCCAATCATCATTTCATCTCATAACATGGCGGAATGATCAGAAACTCTCGTCGTAACTCATCCGTGGAAATTTCTTTTCGAGAATAATTTCAGTCGGATAAAAACGGATAAGAAAAAAAGGTCGTCAATCCGAAAATATCTTTCACATATAAAACTCTAGTGCTTTTTTAAAAATAATGTTTTCTGAAACGTGATGATACTCACACGTATACAAGAGTTTGAGTTATAAATTTTGATTTTAAAAATTTTATTGGAACCCTATTCAATAATGAAAATTATACATATTTAGCTTTAAATAAAAATTACGTACACTTCATTTAAGACTATGGGTGGGATGGGGTCGGGGTTTGTTATTTCGAGTTTTAGTAAAATTTGATGTACTCAAAAATTCTAAAGTAAAAATCATTTGAAAGGGCTTCTATGGTATGGATTATGTAGACAGGTCGAATTAAGAACATGAAAACGATCGTAACAAAGAAATAACAAGTCGTATTTATTAATGAGATAATAAGTTGTAATATTAACGAGATAAAAAGTCTTATTAAGACTTCGGAAAGTCGTAATGACGAGATAAAAAGTCGTTCTGATGATTTTTAAAAGTCGGTATTATCATAATTATGAGATAACAATTTAAAGGCTAATATATTTTGACGGTCACCTGAGTTCGACTCTCTGAAGCTATGCCCCCCCCCCCCAATCCTAAAGCTTGAACAAAACACGTGACTAGCATCACCCTAGGGCCTGACTCCCGAATCCTAGGAAAAGAATTTTATAATTTCTGTTTAGAGTTAGCTGATCATTATAATCATGAGTTCATGAGTAAATTAAGAAGATTCTCAAAGATGTACATGTAATGTACTTTGAATATGTGACCAACTTAGCCCCACCCTGGAGCGTGAACCATGGGCAAGAGACATGGTTTTTTTGAAGAGGGCTATGTGTTTATTTTTAATATCATACAATCAGTTTGTCAGCTTTATAAAGAAAGAATATTCTCAAAGGTTTAACTTACATGTAATTCCAATATATACCAACTTAGTCCCAATTGGTACCTTAACCATGGGCCTTGGTGTAATGAATTTTTCTATTTTGGTACAGTGCCAAGTGTCTATCATAGTTATGGAAATAGTTTACCCGCTACTTGTCCATGAGCAGAGAAAATTTCAAAGATGTAATGTATTTTCAATATATGACTGAAACCCACTCAGGAGCCTGAATCTAGAAGCCACGAATTTCACAATTTTGGTAGAGAGCTCATGGCTTATAATCATGCCAGTGGTTTGACTGCTTGGTGTCAGGCCCGTAGGAAGCAATTTCACTTTGAGGGGGCACAACCATACATTTTCAGTTGGGGGGGGGGGGCACTATCAACTACAAAAATTCCTTGACAAGCAAAAAAAAAAAAAGAAGGTCATCAGACATTATTATTGAGGGGACACAAGCATATAGTAGCTATGTTTTCTATAGTATTCTATATACCGACCAAATTATTGGGGGGAGGCCCCCCCCCGGCACGCCCCCCCCGTGCCCCCAGGTTCCTACGGCCATGGGTGTTCAAGAGTAAACAAGAGGCCCAAGGGCCTTGAATCGCTCTTCTGATAAACTGTACAACCTATCACTTCTATTTGAAGCCTCTAAGTATCCTGTATACATGTATTTAGATAAAGTCTTTAAATTCCAAAGATAGGTCATCATGGCCTACATTTTAGATGAAACACTCTGAGAACCCAAGATGATTCTAAGCCAATTAGTACCTGAGAGTAGGTCATGATGACCTACTTATCACTTGTCATTCTCTGAGGACCCAAGATGCATCAACTAAGTTTGATGATTCTAAGCCAATTAATACCTAAAATATTTTGAAAATTATAACCATAAAATTTCAAAAGTAGGTCACAGTGACCTACTTTTCAGATGACATACTTTGAGCACCCAAGATGCATCAACTTGGATGATTCTCTATAAGGCCATTTTCCGGCCTACGATAAAATCACTTAAAAATGTGATTTTATGTAACTTTAATCATTATATTTCATGATTTTGATGTTTGTTTTTCAACATCGATCACCTAATTCGCGTGATTTAAAGATCACAAACGGCCGTCAAGTAAAGAAAAATTGAGGGTAGGTCTATTTACATCAAGTTTTCATGCATGTTTCTAGATGTAAATGATCAAAAATTGTTTATTTATGTCGGAAACATATCAGACTTAAGTAATAAAAGCAAAGATTGTTTAATTTAAGGCTAAAGATATTTTTTATGGCAAGAATTTGATGCATTCACATTTTGCATATTTTGAATGTAAATCTTTACAAAATGCACCTCGTACGATGTTGAAAAATGTTTAATTAGCATTTAATTAAAAGTATTATTTCATATATGTTTATATTGTACTTGTGTATTTTTTCTATAGATGTGGTACCTATTTTAGGCATAAAATGCCCATGCAAGACATGAGATTTCTAAGTTTCTTTTGAACTATAAAAGTTGTGTATCAAATGTTTAAAGCAATGAATGAATTTTGTTTGTGATTAAATCAAAATTAAGTTGTAATTTATAAAATATAGTCTACATTTGCAAAAAAAAATAAAGAATTCATTAATTTACAGGATGAAAATATTAATGCAAGTACATTTTAATAGTCAGTACATAAAACTCAGAACGGTTGTATTAGAAATATATATATCGACGTAAAATGAAATAACATCGTAAGAGTTGATTTGATTCAATTTTACGCATGTAAAACAATATATTTAATTCAAAATGCTATCTTAACTATAATACACAAATGTATGTATAAAAGTCGACCCCCCCCCCCCCTAGGGCATTCCATAAAATGGAGTAGATTTTCAACAGTTCCTTCCACTACGCATATCAGAAGTTTTAGTATATCCATGGACTAACAGAGTTCTACAACATCCCAGGTACAAATTGGACCGTAAGAGATGACACTCCTTTCGCACTCTTGAAACCTGAGAATTAAATTCTCTTTCCGTGCTGCGTCAAGAACTAAGGTGTTTAACACGGGTAGTGACAGTTCCTTTGCTAAGTCCTCAGCATTGAAAGTAAAAGTCATGGGTCTCTTGGATATTATCTTAAAGAAGGAGGTCCTGTCCCACGGTAGGTGTTGGTCAATACTGAAACCATGCATAAATCAAAATTGTGACACTTCACCTTAGGTGGATGATCTCTTTATCTGGGTGAAAAATTCTAAAATGACGTAAAGCAACATTCAATTATCAATCACGTGACATTTAGGAACCCCTTTCCTCCTTGGCGTTTTATTTTCGAAGACAGAACTACTGTTCTCATAACTTATATTGATGCTACCAAAGAAGTGTGATGAATAGATTGAGTCCTCTCAACACCCAGTTAACAAAATACATGGATCCTATGTCACTCATACGGAAAAGTGTCCTTCTAAAAGGTCGAGGCGAGAATTTCCATTATGAAACCATCCCATCAGTAATTCTCTATCTATAAAAGTTACATGTGTACCCATAGAAAAATTAAGTTTATAACACAAATAGCAAATGCATCTTCCCGCTACAACAAAAATAGTTTTTATCATTTCTAGAACTAATAACAAATATGCAGTACTCCTAAGGAAATACAAATACAAAGAAGCAGCATAGATAAACTAAACTATCCTTATAAATAATATAATTATAATAAGTAACTTATATTCATGCCTTATAGTCTATAAAAAAAATTCTTTATTTCTAGCAGATAGTTCAATGAGACTTGTCTTCACGTAATTTCATAACAACCAGTCATTTCAGTCCTTTGATTTTAGATTTTTTAAGTAAAAAGTTTACCTTTTTTGAGTAAACATGCATGGCTTATATAAATTCTTAGTAAATCAATAGAAACATGTACGTGGAAGTTTATAATAAGAAATAATCTACATAAGCTGATATCCTTCATTGTAAGTAGTTAGCTTTTCCTGCAAATATCGTAAAAATGAAGCGAAAAGTTTTTATTTACATGTCATAACCACCTTTAACCAAGTTGATAATTTGGTAGTCACTTTTTATGTTCATAAGAAGTTTACATGCAAATTTTGGTGTTGGTTAAAGGTGGTTGTGACATGTGTAGGAGTTACCTAACACACCAACCCTCTTGAGTTTTCCCATTACCCTAATGCTAATACGGACCGATAGTACCTTACTTTGTGACCCTATATCATAACAAATACTTTTGTATCATTAACCAATCAACATTTATCATTAAATTGGAACATTAGCCTACTGACTCATGCAGTTTTTAAGGGAAAAAATACTATTTGAAAATTTGAAGTCATTGTAGGCCGCAAAACGGCCTTATAGAGAATGATCCTTTGATAATTCTAAGCCAATAAGTACCTGGTATATTTAAATATAGCTATCAAATTTCAAAAGTAGGTCACAGTGACCTACATTTCAGCCAACCTACTCCGAGGACCCAAGATGCATCAACTGACAAAGTTTGATGATTCTAAGCCAATTAGTACCTGAAATATTTAATTAAAGCCATAAATTTTCAAAAGTAGGTCACGGTGACCTACTTTTCAGTAGACGTACTCTGAAGACCCAAGATACATCAAATGACAAATTATGATGATTCTAAGCCAAATAGTACCCTAAATATTTAAATATAGCCATAAAATTTCAAAAGTAGGTCACAGTGACCTACTTTTGATTTGACGTTTTTCGAGGACCCAAGATGCATCAACTTACAAAGTTTTATAATCATAAGTCTTAAAATGTCCAAATTATGCCTCTAAAACGTTTGGTAAGTTTGGTGATAATCTGCCCAGTGGTTCTTGAGAAGATTTTTTAGCAACCAGTACTTTTGTTTCTATTTTCCTAATTATCTCCCCTTGTTTAAGGGTCATAACCCTAGCTTTAGTATAAATGGGAGCCCTTGGGCCAAGGATACCCTGTGACAAATTTGACAATAATTGGCCAAGGGGTTCTTGAGTTATGGCCCATATTCTAAAAAGTTTACGCACACCGCACAAATGGCCATAGCATTAGCTCTTTGAGCCTTTGGCTCAGAAGAGCTAATAAGGTTTCCAAAGACTATTAATTTTGAAGAAGTTGCCCCACTCCCCAGGGAGACAGAGACCATGAAATTGGCAATTGTTGCCCCCCACCCCATCCCCTTCTGTACATACATTGATTCTATATAACGATGGACAAAATAGCTGTGACATTCATGTGATAATAATTTAACTCGTTTTTACGACTTTCCTATGTCACAATAACGACTTTTTTATCTCGTTATTACGACTGTTTATCTCGTCATCGAAATGATTTTATTTGGTTATTACGACTTTTTGTAAGTCGTTAAAATTACGTCTTACCTGCTTATTACTTTTTATTTCTTTCATGTAACATATTATTAGGAAGAAATGTGATATTTTTATTGGTTCCCAATGGTTGCAATAGTAATAGGTAAAAGTTAATTTATAATTAACTCTGCATGTCTTCATCTGCTTCTATCTTATTTTACAGAAAATATGTCTGTATGACTGTAAACAAATTTTAAAGCAACTAATTGTGTGGTCTAAATTTCCATATTAAAAAAAAAAAATCAAAATTCATTTTTGAAATAAAGCGTTGCCATGGAAATTTTTAAAAAAGAAAGAAAAGTATTTAGTTTCCTTGGATATGTATCAGTGTATGCAAATTCCCTAAAGTTTTTTGATTAATGTTTATATTATAAACCTCTAACCTGATTTTGAATTTTGGCAAATATATAACCTCTAACTAGATGCAGGAAGCTACCAGACCAGCACAAAGGGCTCACTATTTTGAATATCTGTTGTGGCCATCCTGAATCCAGTGACCATTACTGAACTGAATTAGGAGGAACACACATGACACATCAATTTCTTTCTTGCTCCACAGAGAGAGAGAGGGGGGGGAGGTGGGGGAGGGAGAGATGCATACCTAATTAGCACATTACAGCTTTCCTGTTTACCAATCTGACATACAGTTACTCTTTTTGTTCCAAAGAGAGTATTTGGGTATTGGCTTTGATTCCCTTTTGTTTGTCACAGGATCTAAATATTACATTCATTTCAAACCACATTTTCCGAATACCACCTGGTCAAACATTACATACATTGTATACGTATGCAGCAGTAAGTCTAGTTAAATGTTTTGCTAGAGTTAATGAGCATGTAATTTTTGTTCACCAAATTTAATGTCTACAGAATATATGTCAGTGACAGCACCGAAAAACAAATTCCCTTGCTGATGACTTAATTTCTGTGTTTTATAAGTTCCATTTTAACCAATCTGATCTCAAACTAACACTGAATAGTTCACAACACTTACAAGTGCCCTAAACTTAAATCTTCATAAACTTCTTTAAAAGCGAAGCAAAATTTATTATTTGGATATCACAGATTTATTCTTTAAACATTCTTATAAGAAAATTCTTCAATTATTTTTTTATTGCAGGGAGAGTACTATATGATAAATGTCAAGAGATGAAAACTTTAAAATGTCAAAGTTGGAATATTTCATAAAAATTTTGGACATGAAATGCAGCCTTCAGTTTTACTCATGTTGTCTTTCCATCAGTATATGGTGTGTCTGGGCAAAATGATTTGCTGTTTTCAATGGAAAATTGAATCCTATAAACTTAGCCTCTATGAAGTCCTTAAGATTGAAAGATCAAATGACAACCTCTACTGGGAAAGAAATAATGAAATTATTATCAAGAATACAATTTTATTGATATCAGTAGATTTCTATGCATTTTTTTTTTCCATTTTAAAATTGAGATACAACAGTAACAGTGCAGAATAAAGATACAGCACATCAATATATATCTTCTGTGTCAAGAAAACGATTATATATAGAAAGTATGAGGCACATATTCTAAGTATATATATGTACAATGAGAAAATGATGTATTGAAAGAAAATTAAATCTTGAAACGAATTTAACACTGCAATTCCCGAAGGTAAAACTACACAAAATTTTGAAGAATATCTTTCTAAATCAGTAATTCTGTCAATCTTTAAAATCATGAATCAATAGCATAAAATGAATCAAAACCAATACATATATTTCAAACAATGCAACGTATTTTGCATTGTCAAATGTACACATTCAAAAGAAAGCAATGGTGTTTCAACATTGACATAATATTGTCTGTGTTTATATAGTGAAAGCAAGACAATTCATAAAAGTTACTCATCAGTTCTTTTGTCAGATTCTTTTTTCTGTGAGTACTAAAAAAAAGTAAATACAAAATACTTTGTGAAGAGTTATATGAATCTACAGCACTTGCTGATATATCAGCTATCACACAAAGCTCAAGTTATTTCATGGAATGAAGAGAGTCCTAAAAGATAGCAGAGTACATTAAACATCTAATGTGTATCTTTCATATAAAACATCCTCAGATATCATCGATATCTAAATCATCATCATCATCTTCCTCGGAAGGTGCTTCCTTGGTCGCTGGCTTGGGGACTTCCTGTTGACCCACTTTCTCAAAGTTGGAATAAACCACCTGTTAAGAGGATTTACAAAGAGGAATATAAGATCAAGTATCCTTTATTCTTGTGGTTAAATACCTGCATTATTATATGTTAATCAATTACATATTCTAAGAATTCACAGCTTATTAGGCTCTTCACATTTATGATTGGAAATAGTTACACAGTGTGTGTGCAGTATTGTTCCACATATACCGAGTTCTGGGCCTTACCTCCACATGGTCTTCTTCTTCCTCCTCCTCCTCCTCCTCAGAATCATCCTCTTCTGCTTCCTTCAACCAGTTGATGAAAGGAGTCGCCTTTTCATGAATCTCTGCTGAAATTTTCTTGTCAACGTACTTCTTTGACACCTAAATGTTAATTAACACCCCATGGTCTAAGTATTACTACTCTTCATGCAAAATAGTAATTCATCCTAAATTTTTAAAGAAGATCAACTTTGATTCATCTTGCAAACTCATAATTCACTACCACTGACCTTCTTGCCCCAATCCAACAAGACTTCCTCATCAATAATATCAAGATCGTACAAAGCTTTGAGGATGTGAGGAACTTTAGGTAGCAATTCCTCCTTGTGCACATTTCCTACAAGCTGTTCAATACCTCCCAACATATATTTCTGTGCTTTATGATTTTCATGGCAAAACTGAAAAGCATAAAAAGATATTGAAATTTTTTCATCTTAAACACATCAAGTAAATGATTTCTTGTTCATTTCACATTTATAACCTTTATTAGGAAATAATACATAATCAGAATTCTGAATGTCCTTTACAATAAACAATGATTCTAGAATGCCTTAATAGTACTTACTCTTAAGAAGAGATTGCGATACTGCTTCAGCTGTTGAAGGATTTTTACATTCAATAGGACCTCCACCAATATCAGAGGTGCCTTGTCCTTGATCTCTAATCGCTCAGCCTCTGCGACAACTTCCTTGTCTCCTCCTGTTGAAAACGTCTCACGCTTCAACTACAAACAAATAAAGGAGCACTGCATGTATGCTAATAAATCATAAAGCAAATCAAATCTTTGTAATGGACAAGCCTGTCTTTCAAGTGAAATTCGTGTTCACCCAGGTGTTTGATCTTTTATTTTGTAACTTTTTTTTACCTCAACAAACTTGTAGAACATGTTGAGTCGTTCTTCTTGCGTTTTCTCCAAGTCATCAGTGAAGGCCATCTGTTTTGCGGCTACACTGAGTTCTTGCATCCTTTCCCTCACAGCCTCTTCACTAAAATCTTCACCCCAGTCATCATCATTCTCATCCTTATTGGTCTCCTAAAACATAAGTAAACAAAATGTAACATGGCTAAAAGTGCTTTAGCTTTAAAATTCACACAAGTCCATCAGGCTTTGAACCAAAAATTTTCAGTATCTTATGGCATTCAGAAATACATAAAATCCTAAATCAAATTTACACAAATTACACTTTACTAACCACAACTGGGGGAGCATCAACCACACCCCCACTGGCTCTCTGCTGAGCCATCTGTTCCTGGGCATTAGCCTCAGGACTGGCTCTATCATCCTTTTTCTCTCCATTCACTGCCTTTTTATTCTTCTTGTCCTTCTTGGTCTGCTTGGTAGGTGTAGCAGCCGGATCCTACATGTATAATAACATCCTTCATTAAATGTATTTTAGAAATGCAATAAAAAAGTTACTGTATACTGAAAATGAAATTTGGCATCTTATCTTTGTTTGCATAATTATTTCTTGGTCAGCTCATTTCCACATAAAATGTAACAAAGCTTAGTCACTACTCAGACTTAATCACCTGATCTGGGGGATTTTTCAGGATGAAAGTGGTCAGTTTGTGCCGCATGTCAACCATCCCAGTATAGCCGCAAGCAATGCAGCGTTGAGAGATAGTTTGTTTCTTTGGAAATGCAGTCTACGAAACAAAACAGGTTATTATAATCTCTGATATACTTCATAATACCAGGCATTTAATAAGTTCAATTAGGCCCAAAAATTTCTAAATTTGTCCGTGTATTTTACTGTAAAAACACTCCTGCATTATTATTATTATTATTATTTTTTTTACATTTTAAATAATTACACACTACTCTTTAGTGTTTAATATGTTTACATATAGATTATGTTAATTGTTAATCTTTCTCAAGATTAAGATAAGTCATGTTATGACAAAATACTTGAACCTTGATCAGTACAAAAATTACAGCACGCAACTGACATAAATATCTTACCAGTTGTGTTTCTGGGTTGGAACACTCAGGACACAGTACAAAACGCTTGATGAAACCATCTAAAAGCGACTGAAGCTTGCTGGGATCATGAGAACCATTGACAATAAAGCGTTCATTTTTAAAGTCAAACATGGTTTGTGCTCCTAATTCACATCCAAAATACTTCGTTGGATCTGTCATATTAATGAAATCAATTTCAACTTTTAAAAAGAAATGCCTTTAAAATAATTCCAAAAATTTCAGTATTAACTTCTTTAGCAAATAAATCTTTATAATATAACTAGTCACATCATTTTTTTGCTCAGATTCTTACATGTTGGTGGCCTTGATAATGCCTTTGCAATTTCAGGCATATTCACAATTACAGTTTTAATCCCATTCCCTTTACCCTCAACCTGTCAAAAACAAAGAAAAAAAATTACTTTCAGAGAGAAACTAATCATATTAAAAATTATAAATCTTTACATTGGTACTACTCACTATAGGGTTTGTCTACTTTATATTTTACTCATATATCAAAGATGAATTCCATATTGAGAGATTTTTTTTTTCTCTGCAGGAATTCAATAATCAATATGTATCAAATGTTTCCAACACTACTGCTATACAGACCTTGGCTATGAGCCTAGGCATCTTATAGCGGTAGAACTGGTCAGTGACCTCGCTGTTGATGTTAATTGTGGCCATTTTGACCGGTTCCCTGTAAAATTCCTACTGCTTGTTTTGTGTTTTCGGTGAAGTCCACTCCCGGTTTGAAATGAGTAACAGTACTGTGGGAAATTCATAAACCCCTGTATAGGTTTAATAGTCTTCTGAAAATTTATAGTTTCTATACTTCCTGGCTGCCACGGCAATGGCCCTGAAATATAATTATGTTAAAATTGATTTTGTTATATGTTTTGGAGATTTCTATTATATTTGATTCCATTAAAAATAGTAATAAATATGGAGTAATTCAATTTAAAATATGTGCCTTACATAAATGACGCAAAGGCTAGAAAATATGGGTTTTTTTAAAAATGTTTTCCCCCTAATTTTTTCTTTAAAAATAACGAACAGATAATAGTGAGGTGCTCTTCTTTTTTTTAATCAATAATTTGGTAACTTTCATTAAAATTCATAGTGGTTTGAAATATACGTTCGAAAAATATTCCCCATATGGTAAAATGTTACGTGGAAAATCGATGTAACCTTTACATGTCGGGACCTTCCCATTTTCGGTCCACGTGTTCTGACTGTGGCAACATGCCAATAATGGCGCGACATAGCAAGTGATATTACTGGTGACCTTGACGACATAAAAAAATATATCATTAAAACTGTCGATAAAATTTCAAAAACATAGAATTTCTTACCGTCTCTTCTCAAAACCGTCATAAAACCGATCACAACGAATAAAGAAAGGTGAAAAGATATCTGGCGTTCGCCAAGGGATTTCAATCCCAATATGTTTCCTTCAAACGCCCTGAAACTGTCTTCAAGTAACACGCTGGATCTAAAAAAGAATAATAAAAACAGTGAAATACACAATAGTAAAAGGATATAATAAGAATCTGGAACAATAACCAAGATTACTGTTATATTATTTCCCAATATGTTTCACCCACCTCCTCCGTCGAGGTCCGGCAAGATAATGTTGCGCATATGCGAAGGTGAAATGAAATAAATGTTTCCAATCGGATAAAAACGGTTTTCATGATGTTTAATAAAAATATTATTTTAGTTTACATTTCTGAATTTAACTAGGGAATTGAAAAAAATCTAAGTTCAAAAATGCATTTAAAACTTCTAAGTTTAAAATCCTTACATTGCTTAGAAAATTTACGCTGAACAATCTAAATTTTTGTCCTTCATGCTGTTTTAAAAAATTCAACTTTCAAAACCTTTTAGATTTTTTAGAATATTGAATCAAACACTGAAATCTCAAATAACCAAACATTTTTTTCAAATTTACAAAAAAAATTTTGCTGAATTTTTTCTTTTCTTTTCTTTAAAAGAAATTTATTTCAAATAAATAAATAAATAAATAAATAAATAAATAAATAAATAAATAAATAAATAAATAAATAAATAAATAAATAAATAAATAATTTTTTTTTAAATCAAATTTCGGTAGAGAGGGCTTAGTGCTCTTTAGAATCATGCAGTTTTGTCTGCGAGATGCCGTAAATATGATTTGCATTATAACCCCTCGGTCGAGGCTTCTGCTGGTGGACTGTTAGTCCCCGAGTGTCTCTACAGCCCGGTAGCTAAGTACTTCGGTACTACCTTGAAAATACGGATATGCATTTAATTGTTGTGGTAAAATTTAGAAATTTATTTCAAAATTAAGGATTATCTCCCTCATGCTTTCGACGTATTCGGCTATAGTCTTTGGCACCCTCATTTTTCAGCTCTTCAAAGTTTTATTTAAATTTAAATTTTTCGGATTTCCGACGTTTCGGCATGAGCATCACTGAAGAGACATAATTTGTCGAAATGCGCATCTGGTGCATCAAAATTGGTACCGTATATATGATTTACATTGTAAGGATCAACTCTTCCTAAGAAGGGTGCTTAAACATGTTATTATGCCCCCGTATAGAAGATTCGGGGGTATATAGTTTTTGCCCTGTCCGTCTGTCTGTCTGTCAGTTTGTCTGTTTGTTTGTTTAGCTGTTTGTCTGTTTGTCCGCAAAAACGTTAACATTGCCCATAACTTTTGATTGGTTGGAACTATGGCTTTCATATTTCACCTGTGTACATGTATTCCTTGTTACAAGACCTTTCTTTGGGTACCATCATATTTGACCTTGGAGTTTGACCCAGTTTTACAAAATTTTACCCTTTAACCTTGGCCATAACTTTTGGACAGTTAGTGCCAGGGCTTTCATACTTCACATGTGTAATCCTTGTGACAAGACTTTCCTTTTGATACCAACAACTTTGACCCTTTGACGTTAGAGTTTGACCTACTTTTGAAAAACTTTAACCTTGGCCATAACTTTTGAACCGTTGTTGCTAGGGCTCTCATACTTCACATGTGTAATCCTTGTGACAAGGCCTTCCTTTGGATACCAACATCTTTGACCCTTTGACCTTGGAGTTTGACCTACTTTTGGAAAACTTTAACCTTGGCCATAACTTTTGAACGGTTGGTGTTAGGGCTTTCATACTTCGCATGTGTAATCCTTGTGACAAGACCTTCCTTTGGGTACCAGCAACAGTGAACAACTTTGACCCTTTGACCTCCTTAGAGTTTAATCTACTTTTGGAAAACCTTAACCTTGGCCATTACTTTTGAAAAGTTGGTGCTAGGACTTTCATACTTCACATATGTAATCCTTGTGAGAAGACCTTCCTTTGGATACCAACAACTTTGAACCTTTGACCTTGGACTTTGACCTACTTTTGGAAAACTTTAACCTTGGACACAACTTTTGAAAAGTTGGTGCTAGGGCTTTCATATTTAACATGTTTTTTTCTTGTGACAAGACCTTCCTTTGGATACCAACAATTGTAATCCATTGATCTTGACTTCGGAGTTTGACCTACTTTTGAAAAACTTTAACCTTGGTCATAACTTTTTGAATGATTGGTAATTCGGCTTTCGTATTTCACCTGTATATTTCTTGTGAGAAGGCCTTTCCTTGGGCACCATTAATTTTGACCATTTCACCTTGACTTACTGTTGAAAAACTTTATCCTTTTCCATATCTATTCAATGGTTGATGCTAGGCCTTTCATATTTCACAGGTATATTTCTCGAGACAAGACCTTACTTTGGGTACCAACATATTTGATTTGCATTCGAGAAATGTTAACCTTTGCTATAAGTTGCCATACGGGGGCATAAGTGTTTCACAAACACATTTTGTTTTGTTTGTTTTTATGACTAATCATTATTAGACCCCTACCGGTGAAACCGGAGGGGACTATAGGTTTTCTCTGCGTCTGTCCGTCCGTCTGTCCAGCTGTCCATCCGTCTGTCTGTCCCTCTGTCTGTCAGTCTGTCCCACTTGGTTTTCCGCACTTTTTTCTAAACACTTGCAGATATTAAGCTGGTTTTTAGTAGAAGGGTATATCTTGATGAGTTACAGATCAGATTTGCATTTCGTTCCGCTTTATTGATTTTTGACGGAATTCAGGCCTTTTCAATTTTTAAGGGTTTTCCGCAATTTTCTTCTAAACGCTAGCAGATATTTAGTTGATTTTTGGTATGTGACCTAACCTTGATTAGTTATAGATCAAGTTTGCATTTCGCTCCGCTTCATTGATTTTTGACGGAATTATGACATTTTTAATTTTTTACGGGAACCAGATTACACTTGCCTGTAGGGGACTAGTATTGCTAATGCAATACTCTAAGAATGCTTGTTCGTGTACATATTTATAATGTGTCCAATTTGAAATTTGTTAAACATGCATTTTTTAAATTCAAAATGATGGTTGTTTGCGATATCATTTATCCATAGTTTGGAGTCATTTAATAAATCTATTAAAACCCACTTGACTATTGAACGATAAAATATGTAATGAAGATTCAAATTTGGATAATACAGAAACTCTAATTAGATTTTCAAACGTTTTAACCCGATCAATTATCATGGAGGCAATAAACAGCAAATTAGACATATATGACTGTATGTATCCTATATTTATCACCTAGTTGATGTTTAATACTTGGGAAGAGGTCTCAAAATTTAAAACTTGATTAAGACTTACCGCCGCTTTTTCTGCCATTTGAATTACAATGATAAAAGTATACACTTTTATTATACCTCTGTGATTTTTTTCTACATAAGAGTATGACAAATAAATCTTCTATTTTTTCTAAACAGCCCCTACCGTGGAATAGTTTTTGTGCTCATTGCCCATGGTGAAATAGTCATCAAACTATTCACCGGAAGCATTCCATTTCCCTCGTTTTTCATCTCAAAACTATATGGATTGTTGTATTGTGACGTATCTGGTTTGTGACGTAACAAAAGTAAAGTCGGCTTCGGTATAATAAAACACCTATTTACTGACTATTCGGACAATAGCAAGTTTATCGTCCCCCTTGACAGCAACTATTTCCCTCGGCTGCGCCTCGGGAAATAGTCGCTGTCTTGGGGGACGATAAACTTGCTAATGTCTATGGCACGCCGATTGCTTCAAAATTATTTTCTGCACAACGATCACGATTTTATACACGAGCTTGATGTAAAATATACACGAGTAAAATAAAAATGCACGTATCGGTAAAAATTGCACATAGTTTGAAAGATTTTAACACAAACATAACGAAAAATACACGAATCCGAAATTTTTTACACGATTAATGGGTATAAAATGCACAAACGTAAAATCAAAAACTGCACGAGCAGTGGAAACTTAAAATTACACAAACAATTTTACTGCGCATACAGCTGCGCATATCATTATTATGCACATAGAATATTCATTGTGTTCTTGGTTTTCTGTACTCTTTATCTCTTCTTGAATGCTGGATGTAATCGAGAGAAAATGGCGCGGCGTTGACGATGATATGCATGTTTGTTTGCTTCTTTATTTCTTTGCTAAAACTCGATCCGATTTCTAGCTAATGCAAATCAAACGAATGAAGTGTTTTCTTGTGAACTGTGTGAAAAAAATTAAAAGTTGTTCGGAGATATTATATTTTTCTTATGTTGACCGAGATCCTAGCCAAAATATAGAGGTATTATATGATGCCGGACATAAATTGTGACAAGAAAGGAATCGCATGGTTGTGTTATAATGCGGGGAAAAAAGTACCATTGCATATGATGCACTCGACTCTGAACTAAAAGTAATAAACAGCAAACTCTAAATTCATAACGATAAACAGGTCTTGCTTTAAAAAAAATGATAGAATTATTAATTTATTTTTTCTCAAAATATACGCTCTATGGCCTTTTAAAATTATCTAACTTACAGATACAACTTTAACGGAAATTACTTGTACAAAATAAAATTAACACATGCATAATAAAACGATTAATAAAGTGGATTCCTCATGAAAATGATGGCAGACTTACTGCTGATTATAATCATTAAATTGTAGAATTTATTTCGGTACTTCTCATTTGTACTAATTATGATTTCATTTGAGCAGATTATTTTTTTCATTTGGGAATAGGAAATTATTCAATTAGCTGGATATATTTTTTATTTTCAAAAAGATTAAAAAGTCAGTGGGGATTACCTGACCTTAGATAAACACAGTATGTTTTTAAAGTCAAATATAAAAAAAAAATATTTCTAATTAAACATGTATCTTTACTTATAAAATATGAGGACATCAATTTTGGTAGATATCTGTAGCCTACACTGTTATGAATTCCTTCCATGATATCGCATATTTTCAGTCAAAAGCTGCTCATTAAAAAACAAGACATTTCTAAGGGTAAGCGTTACCCTCATTCATAATGGCGATTACTTGATAAATGCTTTCACTTTTAATAAAAAGACCAGATAAAGGAAAAATATATACTCTATGTGCTTTATATACATGCGGTTTTGTGTTTTGTTACTTAAAATTTGTCCAAATGAAATAACAAAACTCTACTCAAATGATCCTGTCACCGGTAAAACTAATGACATTAGTGGCGGATCTGGTTCGTGGATTGATTGAGTCGCAACATCTGAATCTATGTATTTATTAAAGTTTCAAA